GAAAAGAAAAAATATGAGAAAAGGAAAAAAATGGAAACAAAGTCTTTGCAAATAGGGAAGGGTGGAGGGGGTGAAGGGAGGGCAGGGGAAGGGGAATAAAATAAGAACCAAGATTCTCATGTAAAGATACAAGATCCCAATGATGAATGTATTTTATACCTAAAATGTACCAATAAACTTAATGGGGAAAAAATCCAGCTAAACAAACAAAAAAAACCCATAGTGAAATACCACTTCTTATTCACTCGGGTGTGGGTAGATACTATTGATAAGGATGTGGAAAAATTAGAACATTCATACATTGCTGGTTAAAGTGAAAATAGTGCATTTCTTTTGGAACTGCAATTTTCATTTAGTCCAGCATTTTTCCTCAGTTAAATTGAGATACTATATGACCCAGAAGTTCTATTCTTAAATACGTACAAAGAAAAGAAAACCTGATCTCACACAAACTTGCAGTAAATGTTCATAGCAGTGCAATTCATAATAGCTAAAAAGAGCCGGGGATTTATCTCAGTGGCACTGTGCCTGCCTTGCAAGTGCAAGGTCCTGAGTTTGATCCCTGGTACCAAAAAAAACCCCAAAACTTAATAGCTACAAAGAGAAAACAGCCTATGTGAGCATCAAATGATAAATGTAAAATAAAAGAACTGAGATGTGCCTCAATATAGATGAACCTTGAAAATATTGTGCTAAGTACAAGAAGTCAGAAACAAAAGACTACATGTGTGATTCTGTATATGTGAAATCTCGAATAGGCAAATCTATATAGAGAGACAGAAAGTAGATTCTCCAGGACTGGGGCCCAGGAGATGATGAGCGACTATTGATGGGCATGAAGTTTCTCGTTAGGCCATGAAAATGTTCTAAATTTGTCACAGTGTGTGACCATGGTGGTGTAGAGGATGAATGATTACTCGGAGATGAGACTAGTGCTTGGCCCAGAGACAGCTCCTGGCCCAAATTACTTTTCTCTTGTTTTTTACTTCTTACACTGATATTCTAAATAAAAGCTAGAGAGCTCTCAGCTTTAGGATTCTTCTTCTCCTGGGAGGTCTCCCAAATGCTGGACACTCTGGGGTGGAAGCAGTCCCTCTGGGCCTCTCAGTGACTGAACTAAGCCTCATCTCTGAATAATCAGTCACCCTCTATGCCACCATGGTCATGTTCGACAGTATAAATTTAGATTTTGTTGATGGTTGTAAAACATTTTTAATATGTTAAATACCTCTTGTGTCAATTGTATGGTATGCTCGTTATGTCTCAGCAAAACTGTTAAAGAAAAGTAAAGCACAGTGATCATTGGCTTCTCCTCTCATCACACCAGATTGTGTTAAAGGCATAAAAACTATTGATAACAAAAAGCCAATGGGAGCATGACATCAGTCTCTGGGGGGCTTTAGTAGCAGTGGAATAATTCTCCAGCAGAGGGACAAATACTTTGGCTGAGATTCCAGAAAGTAGATGAATTGGGTTTGGGGGATTCTGGATAAAATGACTTTGAGAAAGAGGGTCATAGTAAAACCCACAGGGTATCCTAAGAATTATTCTACCTTATTTGCCTACTGTGTAAAGGAGATTTCTAAGAGCTATAAATTATAAAATGAGGTTTGATGATTATAACAAGGACAAGATTTTGATTCTCTGAAACTTTATAAACAAAAGTTTGTTCAGTCTTTCAGTGCACATCTGGAGTAGGCTCCTTTTGAAAGAAAAAACTTTAGAAATCATGTACAGTAGTAACTGGCTAAAAAATTTTTCTCAGTTTCTAAAAACATTTTGGTGGCAAGAAGCTATTGAAATCACAAGTCATTGACAAATCAGTATCTTTTTGATTATTTTGTCTTAGACAATTTTAGAGAAATTTGTTGAAGAATGCAAGTTCCCTCCAGTGCCAGATGCCATTTGTTCCTACCAGAAGTGCCTTGGGCTTTCCAAAATCCAAATATATATAACCGATCCAGACTTTAAGGTAAATAACGAATATATAGTGGGGCATGAACTTGCAAACGGGTACCTTAGCGGAAAAGTGTTGGGCTGTGGTGGTGACCTGCAAAGGCAGTTTAACTAGTTCTTTCCTCTTTAGCTACTGTTTCCCCTAACTGCTTCCTCCTTAGGAACATAAGAAACAAAATCAGATTGTTGCCTATGATTTTTTGCAGTTCTAATGTCTTATAAAATTTGAGTCCAAGAATCTAAAGGCCACTGATGTTGTGTTAGCTCATGAAGACTTAACTTGAAACCAAGTCTGGCACTTAGTTGAGTAATTATGTTAGTGGTCTATTCAAGAAGATAGTAGCTACCCTCTGTCCTCCATCTCTGGTTAGTATATCAGATGACATAATGTTTATTACATATTTGATATATTGTACAGGATAATGAGGTTGTCAGCTGTGGAAGTGAAGATGTCAGTCAAGTTCTTTAGAATTAGGAGTTTTGGGGTGCAGAAATATCATGTGCCTCTACAAGGAGATGGAATGTTTAGTTATATCTGGTGCAGGAACTCTGTCTTTGTGTTAATATTTGTACTGTGAGCAAATGAGTACTTGTGCATAGATGTCTTTAAAATGTGAATTAAAATTTTTTTAAACCCCAGGGTTTTATACGAATCAGCTGTTGCCAATACTGTAAAATAGAATTTCATATGAATTGCTGGAAGAAGTTAAAAGCAACAACATTTAATGATAAAATTGACAAGGTAAGATGTAATAAGATTGTCTGGATTTATTGATAATGCTTATTGTATGCTGATTTTTTTTCCCTCTAAAAAGCCTTTGCTTAGGAAAAGTCTTCAGTGAATATAAATTTCTTCCTGGGCATTCTAAGCATTATTAGAAAGTTTTAAATCATAATTGTAATAATAAAGTGGAAAATGAGATTTTAAAAAAATTTATGAAACTGTAAAAGCTGTAATTGTAGAGGCCTTTAATAAACTGCTTAACTATTGTATATTGAATGTTATGATAAAAAATAATGTAGATGTGTGATTTTAAAATACAGGTTTTAAATTAGGTACTGACCATTTTAGTCCTTCAGAGGTCTTTCAATTAAAGACTTAACAAGTGTTGCTAGAGAATTAAAATCTCAAAATTTTTATTTTCTATGAAAATTTGATTAAGTAATTTGTATAAAAAATGAGCTGAGGGCCAGGGATTTAGCTCAGTGGTTCTGCCACCTGCCTGCCAAGTGCAAGGACCCAAGTTTGATCCCTGGTACCAAAAAAAATCTGCTTAAATTTTTTACTGTCCTTTCTCATGAATGGGTTGGTAGGGTACTTGTTATCAAGATAATGATTACTAAGCCATTAGAAGAATACTTCAAAAGAAGGCACAATTTTACTTGCATTACTGTCATACTTATGTTCATAAAATTTATTTCTGAAAAAAATATCTTTAAAAAAATATTTATTTCTGATCTTTTTAAGCTATAAACTTTTTAAAGAGGCAACTGTTTTCTACACTGTGTGGACCTAGTGCTATTGGGGAAAAAAATAAAGTAGTAATTAATAAGTTTGTAAAGCAGTAGTAATCAGTAAGTTTGGTAGAAACAAAATTGAGCTTCTCTAGCTATAGACTCTCACTGAGTGGCCTTAGCCATCCCTGTGGTTCTGAATACCATGTGTGAATTAGCCTCCACTAAGATATGCTATAATATACAACCCAGTTCTTGTGGCCTAACGTGGAAGATTCGTTTCTTGGTTACATTACTTGTCCTGACATCTTGCCTTTGTTGACCAGGGTTGAGTTGTAGCAGCTCTGTGCTAATTGGCCTTCTTCTTTGTTTCTGAATCCAAGTTGAAGAGAGGCCTTTTTCTAGAACATGTTCCTGTGTCAGAGAGAAAAAAGTAATGGCCATTCCATGTAGTGTTTCTTAATGCTTTTGCTTAGACAGGGTCTATGTCAGTGATGGCGAACCTTTTAGAGCTTTCAGTGATAACAAATACCCTGCTGTGGCACACGTACCATATGTTCACTGCCACTGGTCAATGTCCTGGCAGCTTACCTTGCCTTGACCAAAGCCAGTCACATGGTCCACCCCACACTCCAAGATGTATTCTTCCTACAGGGAGACTCTGAAAATCATACAGCAATGCTGAAGACTTTCAGTGTTTTCCTGGGGGGTTTTACACCATGTTTTGACTGTTGGGCATTTAAAATGGTGCACGTGTACAGACTTATCCCACATAGATGTAACATTCTTCTTTTTTAAAATCAAATAGGATTTTCTGCAAGGAGTTTGTCTTACCCCTGACTGTGAAGGTATCATTTCTAAGATTATCATCTTTAGCCGTGGTGGTCATGTTAAATGTGAAGTAAGTATCTAATAAAGGGAAACTTTATTAAACTGATAACCAAAATGTTTATGCCTTCTAAACATGATTTGCATTTATGGAAGTTGTGTGATTTGGATCTTGTCTTTTTCAGGAAAAAGTGAATTATATCACTTAAGAAAATATAGGCAATATTAGGATGTGCATTGCCACATTCTTTTATTCTCAATAGAAAAAAGAAGCATTTGGGGTTTTTTTTTTACATTTTAGTTTTATTGTTTTTACTCATTTTGATCACTTTGTTGTCTTAATCCTCTACAAGCTTCTGGGACCTGGTGGGAGGGGAGGGGAATCCTGAGGGGGGAAGAGTCCCTGAGTGAGGCAGAAGAGGGTCCTTGTAATGATGGTTTTAGTTTATCGGGTCTTCTGCTTACTCCTAATTTTTTAAAACTTCTTCCTAAAATGTGTCTACTCTCTTGTTGCTCTTTTCGGTAAATTATTTTGCTAAAGCTTTCTGGGCTTTTGTCTGGGTCAGAACATTGTCACTGTTCTTTATCAAATTGAGCATTGACTCTGTGTGCTTCTGAGATATTTGTTACTTGTGGTTTTGTGCTTTATGTCATGGGAGTATGAGACAAATTTTGGATGTCTTTGTTTTATTTAAAGTTTGAACACAAGGTCATTAAAGAAAAGGTTCCTCCAAGACCTATTCTGAAACAGAAATGTTCTAGGTAAGATTTTTAACAATCAATTAGTGGTTTTATGATGTCTCTTAGGATGTGATTCTGTTAAATGCAGATTTCTAAATTATGCTGTTCTTAAAATTGGCTGTGCACATTTACATCCAAATAAGTATTTTAAAAATTATTTTTATGGATATTTAAAACTCAAGAGTACTAGCCTAGTATGGTTAAATACTAAAAATCCAAATCAATCATTATCTAGTGATTGAATTTATAAATAAAACTGTGGCATTTTATGTTACAAAATCACATTTGATTAACAGATTTGGCATTTAGATAAAAATTACATATTTAGCTCTCAATTGTTTAAACTTTAATTGCAAAAGCATTTTTCCTTTTTATCTCTCTTCAGCAAACATTTTGAACCAATGGCTACTTCTTACCTTGAAATCCTCAATGTACTGTCTAAATTATTCACCTCTCTGTATCTTTTTGTTCAGATCAAATAATTCCAGTCCTTTTTTCTTTTCTTTTTGGTCCTGCTTCTTGTTTTTCATTCTAAAAAGTGATTTTTTTCATTATTTGTGACCAAGAAAAAGCAAAAGAAAAGATGAACAGAATTATTTGTTGGAAAGAATTCATTGTAACCAGACTAACCAAATTTCTATCTTGGGCGTCATTATTGGGATATGAAAAGTAATATTCTCTTGTGGTATCTTTCTTTGAGAGTTTGCATATACTATCTTGTTGAGTAATTTGTACTATTCCTACTTACTTTATGCAGTAATTTATATATATACAAATAATATCTATATAATCTCTACATTGCATTCTTAATTAGAAGTCCCTTAACCATTAAGGTTATTGTGTTTATTAAACAAATATTTCCTTATTTTGACTGAATTGACAGTATTCAACAATAGATCTTTACATTAAACAGAAGATGTAGTCCAGATTCTAACTAAAAAGTAATTTGTCCAGGAAAAAAAAGTAATCTAATTTACTGGTTGGAGAATGGTTTTTATAACTGGCAAAGGAAAATAGTTCATTTGAGCTTATAACAAAGATAAATTATCACTAATTGTAAATGTTTATCAGCCTAGAGAAGCTAAAACTGAAAGAAGACAAAAAACTGAAGAGAAAGATCCAAAAACAAGAAGCAAAAAAACTAGCACAAGAAAGAAGGGAAGAGGACTTAAGAGAAAGTAATCCTCCAAAAAATGAACAGCAGAAAGGTATGCAAAAGTCCATGACATGATACGACAATACATACTTGCTTTAAGGAACAAATATGAACATGCATATTATAAGGGCTCATATTAATCATTATTGAATTGAAATACAGACTTGAGTTTGTTTGGTTTGTTTGTTTTTGTTTTTTGGGGGGTTTTGGGGGATTTTTTTGGTACCAGGGATTGAGCTCGGGACCTTGCGCTTGCGAGGCAGGCACCGGAACCACTGAGCTAAATCCTCGGCCCTTTATTTTTGGTTTTTTGAGACAGTGTCTCTATGTAGTTCAGGTTGGCCTTGAACTCGCAAGTAACCCAGGCTGGCCTCAAACTCACGCCAGTCCTCCTGCCTCAGACTTCCAAGTACTCGGATTCCTGGCATCCGCCACCACGCCTGGCCTTTGAGTTTGTTTGTTTTTTTTGATACTATCATTAAAATACAGATTCCACTTTACTGTCTTCTGTTACTCAAAGACATCAAGTGGGTTGGTCTGAAAAGCTCTCATTTTAGGAACGCAGTACCCAGGGATTCACACCCTGCCCTGCACAGACTCCAGGCAGACTGTGTCCTCTGCTCAGAAGCGCAGTGGCCATAAGATCTGACCCACGGGGTATAGATTTGATAGCGAATTGTGCGTTCTGCTCTGTGGATTTAAGTGTCAGGAAAGTGTTGAACTTGCCAGGCATGGTGGTGCACACCTATAGTCCTGTCACTCAGGAGGTGGAGGCAGGAGGGTCACCACAAGCTTGAGGCCAGCCTGGGCTGCACAGTGAATTTAGGGCCTGCCTGAATACAAAGCAAGATCCTGTCTCAAAAAGCTAAAACAAAACAAGAAAAACATTCAACTATTAATTGACTACTGATTACCTAAAATAATGCTGAGTCCAAACAGACAGCTCAGAAAAGGTCCCATAGAGATTACCTAATCCGGCCTTTTATTTCCTATTTGACACGGGACTGTCTCGTGGATGATTTTACTATTCCTATGTACATTGTACATGTTGGCCAGTGTGTTTATTTTCAGTTTAGAGTTGATATTTTCCCCATTTTTCTATTACTATGTCTGTATTTACAAAATGAAATATTTTCCACTTCTCTCGGCTTGTCATAGTGTTCCAATAATGTTTCACAAATTAATCAAAATGATCTTTCCTGCTAAACTTTTTTCAATGAATGTACTTTAATTTTGCATACTTGAATGCTAAACGTATTTATTGGGTATAGTTTAGTTGGATTAGGATTGTTGAGGGAAGAAACCTTATTTAGAGGAAATACATTTTAGATGCTTTTACATGAATGTAGTGGAATGAAGGGGTTCAGCTGCTCACTTTATGTTGGGTTTAATGTGAACTTTCATGCTTTTCAGAGGTGCTGTTAAATATTTATGTTTCTAATTGAAAGTTTCTTAAATTGTCTATATAAGAACGAAGAATCAAGGAGTCATTTTCGATTATGTAATGTTACATTATTTCTGTTTGTATCATTGCACATGAGTCCTGTTTATCAGTTTGACCTCTCTTATTTGTCCCTAGAAACAGTAAAGAATGTTCAGAGTTGCCCGTTCCTTGATGACAGAATTCTGCAGTGCATAAAGCAGTACTCTGACAAAATTAAATCTGGTGTACTGGACACTTCCAAGCTTCTCAAAGAATTGATTTCTTGGAAGGTTTTGACCACAGAAGACTATGCAACATTTTTCTCTAACAAAAATTTTCTCACCGAAGCAGTGGACTATGTCATCGGTTACTTGGTTCAAGAAAATAATAGAGTGAAAACAAGGATGTTTCTGCACGTTTTGTGCGAGCTTCAAGAAGTGGAGCCCAAGGTAGCCAGCTGGCTCCAGAAACTTAACAGCTTTGGTATGTGGAGTAGTGTGGTATACTAGGAAGGATAAATGTTGGCCTCTGAGTCCTTTTCAGTTTCCTGTCTGTTTGTTGGCGTGCTGGCAGTTGACCCCAGGGCCTTCACATTGAGCTGCAGGTCGGTCCCCCTCCCCCCCTTAAATTTTGAGATTCACTAAGTTGCTGAGTTGCCCAGGCTAGACTCTAATATAGGATCCTCCTGCCTCAGCCTTCAAGAGATCTGGGATTATAGATGTGTGCCATTTTGCCCGGCTTCATTTATGACTTTAGACTGCAAATTTGTATGGTTAAAAATAGTTATCCTCCCATAATTTTTAGGTTATTTTATAGATAGCTTACAGTGTATCATTTCAAAAGTTGTAAACAAAAGAAAGATTGGTCAGGGAAATCCAGATTCGTGTCATGCTAAATGACGTGAGTGTGTCAGCTCTGAGCACTGGACAGCGTGTGTGAGTAGCGTACCCTGCAGCCTGCTCTTTACAGACTGCCTTCTCCATGCAGATCAGCAGTTGTGTCGAGAAACAAAAATATTCTAAAATTCAGGTTCTATGAAGAAAATTTTAGAAAGACTAATTAATAGGACTAATCGCTTAGGGACACCTCTGGCAAATCTGTGTCTGAGGATCAGGAGAGCCACCTCCTGGGCCAGAATAGGCCACTGACTTCCCGGACTGCAGCTCTGTCCCCTGCCCTGGGTCCTGGGGTGGTGGAAGAAGGGGCTTGAGGAGGATGCCCTGGGCCTCGGCTCTGCTCAAGCCGTGCAGTGACCTGCAGATGCAGTGGCTGTCTGTCCCTAGGAAGGGTGCCTTGGGTACCTACCAGAGCACTTGTCTATTGTGATGACCAGGGTAACAGCTAGCCTCTGCAGTACATAGTTGATGCAGATGGCAGCTTTTCATGAAAAACTAACAAGGGCCACTGAAGCGGGGTCAGGCTGGCGGGCTTGCTAGTGCACACCTACAGTCCCAGCACTCGGAAGGCTGAGGCAGGAGGATTACTGTGAGTTTAAGGCCAGCCTGGGCTATTACAGGGAGTTCAAAGCCAGTCTGAACTCGTAGCAAGACTTCATCTCAGAAATAAAAAAGGAAGCCAGGGGATTTAGCTCAGTGGTTCCACCGCCTGCCTCACAAGCGCAAGATCCTGAGTTCGATCCCCGGTACCAAAAAACCCCAAAAAGCAGAACACATCATACTATGTATTTTAAATTAAGTTAAATTAAAAAGGAAGCAAGATTAGCGGCTCTCCGCAACAGTCAGGAGTAGAACCTGCCCAGCTCCTGCCAACTACTGCCACCTGCTGAGGTTTTAGAGACCAGAAGCTGTTTGGAATTCTAGAGTTTCAAAGATACTGGTCAGCATCTGTTGGTAGAGACAAAATAGATGACAAGTAACTTGGCATAGTTAGCCAAGCACTGCCTTTCGAGCCTGAGTCTCTGTGGGTTTCTAGTCCCAGAAACTTACTCTTAAGTGATGTTGTCACTAGTGTCTACCACGTGAGCATGTTATAAAGTTTTTGCTACTTCAGTTTGTTTAGCGGATAGACGCACAACTACAGAAATGGCCTTTTCTGGGTTATGCTGCATGGTCAACATTGCCAGCCACTGTCCACTCAGGTCAGTCTGCTGGTTGAGCCTTGCCACTCACTGGCAGGAGGATGTGACTGTGTCAGGTGATGTAATGAGCACCTTCAGGTGGGGCTGTGACGCGTGTGTCTCCTGGCCTGGTGGTTAAACCATTGGTGTCCATCTGTGACGGTAGCACTTGCAGCACCACCTGTGCAGGCTGCCCAATGGGACAGTTATGTGTGTGCCACTAGTTGAAGTGGGCTTATTCCGTGTTTATGCTGAAGAGTGGAGGTATCATTTTAGTAAGTAAGTGCGCACAATAAAGTTAAGCACAGTGACTAGTAAAGCTGTTATTATAGCCCTGATACAAAACTCACATTTATTTAATAAAAGTAAAGTAAATGGTTCCCATTTCCTGAAGTTCTTCTTTCTTCTCATACAATGTTTATACAGTAGAGTTGCATCATGTGTGTATTTAACCAGGAGTGGCCAGTGTGTATGTCCAACAAAAGATAGAGGGAAGGAGAAAGAAACAGCAGAGCACACTCAGACAGCATTTCAGTGGTGATGGTGGGGTGCACGCTCTGGTTGAGACTGGAGAGAGATGTGAACATATTTCTTCTCCCTTGTGGTTCCTGTAAACCTTTTATTTTGTGAGTATTTTACATGGTAACCGATTCTGGTTATTCTCATTTCTCCTGCAACGTGATCTCTACTGGCTGTTCCATCTGAAAGAGCATTAGTCCGGGGTAATTTTGACTGAACAGTTTCTGTTTCATTTGCTGACTTAAGACCTGCAGCCCATGCGAGAGGTGACCATGCTATATTAGAGTTACCATGCGGAAGTGAACAAATTTTCTTTTTGCTTTTTTGGGGCCATGTTAATAAGAAGTAAGGGTTTACCATGTTTTCAGCAGGAATGTGTGAGGTTGCAGCCACTCTGTTTTCTGATTTAGAGAATAGAGAATAAAAGCTAGAATACACCTCAACTTTTGTAGAGGAGGGTGTGGAACCATGATAGTTTGGGGAAAAAGGAACAGTTCTTGGAGGTGTACAGAGGGAAGTTTACCCATTTTTAAAAAATACATTTGGGGAGATTTTTACATATTACTGATGTTTTGTTGCTATGAAATATATGTAGAAAAATATTAGAAAACTTTGCTAGTTATTTAGAATTAAAGTCATTAAGAATTAGTGAAAAATAGTATTATATTTTTAAAGGAATTTAGTGTCGTATTCTCATCTCCTAAGTATTATGAAGATAACTATAAGGATAGAAGCCTTTGGCCCACCTTACTCAACTTATAAATAAAAATTGCTATAATTTGCATAGAGTGTTAACTGATGTTTCTAAATGCATAATAGCTCGAACCAATCTGTTCTCGAGTATTTATATTTTCACTGAAAATATAAGCAAACAGGAATGGAACCACTTGGGGAGAAGTAAAACTTCATGCAGTTTTACAGTAACTCATTTTTCCCTTCTTGTGATTCGATGTTTGTTTTGTTACAGGCTTAGATGCCACGGGAACTTTTTTTGCTCGATACGGATCACTTCTGAAGGACCTTGACTTCACCATCATGACTTTCCTGTGGAATGAGAAGTACGGTAATAAGCTCGACTCTATAGAAGGAAGGCAGCTTGAATACTTCTGTGAGCCCGTGTCCCTGAAGGAAGCACGCTGTTTGATATGGCTGCTGGAGGATCACAGAGAGAAGTTCCCGGCCCTGCACAGTGCTCTGGATGAGTTCTTCGATATAATGGGTATGTGGACCAAGCTGAGACTTACATTGTGTGTAATTTCTGGGCAAAAAAAATCTGTGACGGTTTTAAAAAATACTAGCTTATTTAAATGCTTAATAATGACAATTACGAACATGGTTACAGCACTGCCCATGTATTTGAGGAAGATACAGATGACAGTGGTGACTGTTGGGTGAGGGAGATGATAGATGTACCGGGGCAACAGAGGAAAGACTTGGCACTGTTTCTCCCCGGGAGGGGACACCTGTGAAACAGTGGAGCCTGAGTAGGTTGTAAGCAGGGAAGTGATTAGGCAGCAGTGTTGAGGCTTGCAGAGGGAGGCTGGAGGGCACTTGGGGAGCCTGTGGGCAGTGGCATGGGGTCCAGCTTGGTGGAGTAGGTCACTGATAGCTAATGCTTTAGCTTCTCTCTCTTTTTTTTTTTGGTACCGGGGATCGAACTCGGGACCTTGCGCTTGCGAGGCAGGCAGCGGAACCACTGAGCTAAATCCCCGGCCCGCCTTAGCTTCTCTTAGACCTTAGTTTCCTTATCATTAAAATGAAATGATTTGGAGCCAGTGATCTGTGTGATCCTGTTTTGCTTTAAAATCCCGATGTTCTTAGGTTCTAATTTTAATTTCTTACCATTCATTTTATGTGTACATTCTCCAATAATTTCTTTTCCCCTCCCTTAGCCTCAGAAGTCTACTTCATCTACTAGTGGGGGTTAAATGTCATGCTGTTTGTTTAAAGGGTACACGAATGGGTCTGGCCTTATGTAGCATTACAGAGTCCACATGCACTTTACTGAAAACCTTGGTTTCATTGTGATTCTTAGGAAAGTACACAGGCACAAACAGATGACTTAGCTTTTTGGGGTACTGCTTCCTGAGTGGAGGTGGTGTGGTGCTTGATAGCCTGAATTTACTGCCATCGATTTATTGCTGGTGGTGATACAGTGCTGTCCTAGAATTGATCTCACAAAACCCACTGTGTGCTTGGATCACACAAGACAACTAAAAATGACACAAATGTGTGCTTTTCCTGATCTGTACCTAAAATTCTCAATATTTCACTGTTTGGCTCTGAGACAAGTTTAGTTTAAAAATTAAGAGCAAAATGCCTAAATGGGAAACCAACTACACAGAAGCACACAATGCAGACAATACTACTATGCACACAAATACCACTCTTCCCTTGTTTTTTTTTCATGGGGTCAGAAGCCACCAAAAAAATTACAAGTTATCTCAATAGATGTTCAAGTCTAATGGCTCCCACTCTTGCCTCAGATATTTTCAGTTTTATCTCTTTTCATTTAAAATAAGGAATATATTTCAGAAAACTTTTCAAAATCCACTTGGAAAGTGAGGTAGGTAGATCATGTGATCCACTGATTGTGTACATCAGTGTATTCAGTAACTTCACCAGTGCTGTAATTGGGAGTCCCAACTTTTCTCCGGAGCTCTGGATGCCTATCTCCTAGAGCATTTCTATAGACAGCCAGGGCCCTGACCTGTCTAGCTCACTTGCCTGGGTCAGGACCTGAGTTATCTTCCCATGTTTGGACTATTGCAGCAGCCTCCAAACTGTCCTCCAGGCCTCTGATCTTCCTCCTATACTGCCAATAGTGACTTCTGTAACTTCCATCTGACCCTGTAACTGTTCTGTTTGAGAAATAACTGCTTCGCTTTGTCTGCAGGTTAGGTCCACATCATGCGTCTGGGCTTGTCATCCCTCTCCCTCCCTGCACACACCCACTTCCGAACCCCCACCAGTCCTGCTTTGCCCTGTCGCTCATGGACTTCCCCCAGAGCCTTCCCTGACCTTCTTGGCCTCTGCCCTGCAGACTCTATTACCCCACCATCTCCCTTGCCGTTTTATTTTGTTGTGGCTCCTGTAAACACTGGGTTTCCACTGGGTCTTTGGCAGTAGAAGAGGCTCATAGACTGTCTCCTGTGCCTCTGTACCCCACATCCCGGCACAGCTGCACCCAGAAGGCACTCAGGCTGTGCTGCATTGTGTGCTTCTGTGTAGTTGGTTTCCCATTTAGTCATTTTGTCCTTGATTTTTTAACTAAACTTGTGTCAGAGCCAAACAAGCCATAGAACATGGTCTGTGGTCATAGTCTAAGGGGTGGCTTTAAGGCTTTAGTCTACTGTATGAAAATGCACAGTATTTAGTTTCCTCACAGAATATTATGTTTCTTCCGACAGATAGCCGCTGCACTGTATTAAGGAAACAAGACAATGAAGTGCCGGTAAGCTACTTGACTACTTGAAATCCTGTGTTCTACCTTGCATTAGCTAGAGGAGGAGCCCGGCTACTGTTTGTTTACACCACCTGTGGTACCAGAGCCAGATGGGGAGCACTTCTAGGTGATGTTGTACTATTTCCAGCAGAAAGTCCCTGGGAGTCTTCCTCCTGGAATCGGAGCACTGAATTAGACAATTTCCGTAAAGTTTCACTGCTAATAAATGTTGATATTAGAAAGACCAAAGGAAGAGTTTCCCAGTCATCTCTTAGAACAAAAATGGAAATTATCTTTAATGTTTAAAATTGCAGTGTTTTGCTGTAGAAGGAAAACAGTCTGTTTCTAGTAGCTCCATCCTGAGTTCCAGTTAAGAATAGTTTCAGAGATGAATTCTCTAGTAGGTTGTGTTTGCCTTTGCTTCTTTCTGGCAGATTAGAAATTCTTCAGTTGAGGAACATAATGAAGCTGTGAGAATAGCATTTATGGCAGCTTTCACAGAGGAAGATGCTGCTGTCCTAGTGTTGGGGATCAGGCATTTATCCAGGAAACTCTTCTGCTCTTGCAGATATAGCCCTGCTCAGTATGGAGACAGCTGTACCCCATAGGCAGCTTCCTTCACTCTGTGCCCCATGCTGGCCAGTGCAGAAGGTCTAGTAGGCTTAGTGCAAGGAATAGCATTAAAATGCTACTACAGTACATAGGCATTCCTCAGAAGTCTGATTAATTACTTGAAATAAGATTGACCGGGCTGGGGATTTAGCTCAGTGGTTCTGCCGCCTGCCTGGCAAGCACAGGGTCCCGAGTTCAATCCCCAGTACCAGAAAAAAACTCAAATAAGATTGACATGTTGGGACAGTTTTAGTTGTATCATTAGACATTATTAATCTTACTCTCTTTTCTTCATGTAAGTCATGGCACTTGGGCTGATACATAAATTGTTTAACAATTATGTACTTTTGGGCTGGGAATTTAACTCAGTGGTTCTGCCACCTGCCTTGCAAGCGCAAAGTCCCGAGTTTGATCCCTGGTATCAGTAAAAAAGATAACATTTTATATACTTTTAACTTACAACTAGCCTATGGAAATCAATACACGGTTTATGTTGATCTTCATAATGCTGTTATTTGAGTGCTTAGTGATTTTTTTCTCTTCATTTTTCAGATGACTTCTACCAAGGTGAAGAACAAAGGCAAGAAAAAGAGGCAAAAAGATACAAAGGTGTGGAATATTTTCTGTCTTGATTCTAACCTTACAAAATAATTCAGTATATATGAGTAGATGAGAAATAAACAATTCTTGGAATGTTCTGAAACATTTAGTAGAGAAAGACTTTCTAGTCTTTTAAGGTATTTTGACAGTCATACATTTCAAGGAAATTTAAGTTCATATTACATATAATTAACTCTTTAAACAAACTTAATTTTCATTGTCATATGTATTCCCCAGGTATTTCTGAGTGAAGATATGTAATTTGTAGGGCTTTATACAAGTGTCTGTAGAGCAGAGTCCAGGAAGCCTTTCAGGTCTCACAGGCCTGGGTTCATCCCTTGGTTCTACTTGACCTGGAGCGAGTTGACTTCCCTGATCCCCTTCTGATAACAAGAATAATAGCGATACTGCTGCTAACAGCTAATGACATTGTTATACTTAGGAGGCAGTCAGTGCTTCATAATTATTACTACTAAACTGAATCTTATAAGGAGATCAGGAAGCAGAATGTCACCTAAAATAGTCACAACAAAAATGATGAATTCCCATCGTCATGGCAACCTCAGGATTGACAGGATCCTTTCCCTTTTTTACCTAAGGCTCCAACCAAGCCTGCAGGAGAAGCAGGGCATGATTTTAAGCCTCATAGTTGGCTCTCTGAGGCGCTAGTGTCTGTCCTGGGCCAGAGATGGGGTGAGAGAGGGGCCAGTGTTTGGACAGGAGCAGCTGGGACATCGGCACAGCTTGGCTCTGCGTCTCGACTCCACGTCTTCATTAAAGTGGAAGTTAAAACTGAGGGACGTGTAAACTTTTGGAGCATTGGAAACTACCCTAAATGTTAATTGGAGCTTATATCTGGATGTCAAACTTGCATTATCCTGTGTTCCTGTTTACAAGAAAATTTGGATAGGTTTTAAATGTCGGAAGTTGACGTGGTGTCTATCATCAATTTCAGTGTTAGTAATTTTCTTTCATGACATTTTAAGGTAGAGAGTCAGTGTTATTTTTCTCTTTTAAACCAGCTGATGTTAATTGGGTCTGTAACAACTTCACTAACACCAAGTAATGAGACTTCCACTTCAAGTCAAGACCCTAAGTAAGTATAATTTTAAAATTTCTGCTTCATTGTAACTCAGAAGTTTTTACTTAATAAGTCATGTTAATTTAATATACTATAAAATGATTTCCTTAACTTCCCTTTCTAAAGATTTGCATTCATTATGATAGCTTGATGTGATCCATCTTGATTGAGTTAATAGCATGCCTTGCAATCTTAAAAACTCAAAATGTGTTCAAGTTGCAGGACTGATAATATTTACTCAGTAAGTATATATTGAGAATGTACTATGTGTGAGGTACTGTGGGAAAAAATCTTAGAAAATGCCTAGAAAGTAATCTTTAAGTGTTTGGTGTAGAGACTATGTTATTGATAATTAACTAGTATTCTTTTCCATAATAGGAGAAAAGAAGATGTTTTGGAGGATATATATGATGTTATAGCTTAACCTTTTATGTCATTGATATTCAGTACCACCTGGTTGAAACTAAGTTTTAAAGAAAAAAATAGACAATAAGAAATAAAACTGAAGAGGAGGAGTAACATTTTTATATTGTATTGCTTTATGGGTCAGAATCTCCCAAAATGAGTTTTTTCATATTTCTTAAAAGTTACAAGAACAGTTGAAATTTTCAGTCATTTTCATTGATTAAATGAAGGCGTTATTTTAATGAGTTAAAATAATCAGAGCTGGTCTTTGTCCATTTGGGCTGCTAAAACAATATACTATAAACTGAGTGGCTTACAAACAACAGAAATTGTTTTGGCAGCTGGGAAGACCAGATTGGGGGGAGGGCCTGCCTGCTGGTTCATAGATGACACCTTCTCACTGTGTCCTCCATGACGGGGGCAGCACAAGGCTGCCTTCTGCAGCCTCTTTCTTTTCTTTTTTTTTTTGGTACCAGGGATCGAACTCTGGACCTTCCGCTTGCGAGGCAGGTGGCAGAACCACTGAGTTAACTCCCCGGCCCAAAATTTTATTTTATTTTATTTTTTTGGTACTGGGGATCAAACTTGGGTCCCTGTGCTTGTGCAGCAGGCGGTGAAACCACTGAGCTAAATCCCCAACCCCTGCAGCCTCTTTCTTAAAGGCACAGATCCCTCTCATAAGGGCTTTACCTCACAACCAAATCACCTGACAGCGTCACCATCTGAACTTTGTGGGAACCAAATCACTCAGACCCTAACATAGCCTTCTCTAGGATTGACACTCACGTACAGTCACTGTTCTCAGGGCTTCCCATGGGTGACTCATTCGACTACTTCATCCACGCTAGGAGATAAGTGAGTCCTGTTATGTCTACAGTATAGATAAGGAAGCAGGCACAGTGTATGTAAGAGCTTACCAAGACCAAAAACTTGTAAATGAAGAGCTGGAATTTAAACCATACATTCTGGTTTTACAGCCCACACTCAAATTGATACATCTTTTTAATTTTTAATTTTCCTTTGTATTAGTATATGTTTGCAATACATAGTAATTAACATTCATTTGGGGGGATCTGTACATATACACATCACACCTTGATCATTTTTACTTTCCTTCCCCACCACCCTCCCCACTCTCCCTCAGTTTGTGACCTCTGTTTCCTACCATCTCTCCTTTATTTTGCTCTTTAAATTATTAATATTTTAAGTTTCTCATATAAGAGAAACCATAGGATAGTTAACCTTCTATGTCTGATTTACTTCACTTAGCATTATGGTCTCAAGAACCATTCATTTTCCTACACATGACTCAGATTTATCCTTCTTTATGGCTAAGTAGCATTCCATTGTGTATATATACATTTTCTTTGTTCATCTGTAGGCTGCTTCCATAATTTAGCTATTCTAGATTATGCTGCTGTAAACATGAGTATGCATGTGTTGCTGTAATATGATGACTCCAACTCTTTGGGGAAGATACCTAGAGAGATATAGCTGGGTCAGATGGAATTCCTATTTTTAGTTTTTTTGAGGAATCTCCATAGTGGGTGAGAAATGCAAATGAAAACAACACTGAGATTCCCCTTACTCCAGGAAGAATGGCCCTCATGAAGGACTCAAAACCCAGCAAGCTGGCGAGGTTGTGGGGGAAAAGGAGCCCTTCAGCATTGCTGGTGGGAATGTAAACTAGTACTACATCTTTGTTAGGGCATTACCATCTTACACTGTTTTGGCGGGGTTTTTTCCATTTAATTTATTGGTACATTTTACGTATACAGTACAGTTACATTCATCATTGGGATCTTGTACCCCATTACATGATGTATCTTGGTTCTTATTTTTTCCCCATTCCCCTTGCCTACCCTTCCCTATTTACAAAGTCTTTGTTTCTATTTTTTTCCTTTTCTCGTATTTTTCTTTTCCTTTCTTTCCTTTCCCCTTCCCGTCCCACTTCCCTTATTCCTTTAGACATTGTCTTCCTATTGCACAATATCAGTTATACATTTTGATTCTTATTTACACTCTTAGTTTTTCACACTAGAGAAACTATTCGGTATTTACACATGATTACACTGTTTTTTTTTTAAAGTCTTTTTAGGGGCTGGGGATTTAGCTCAGTGGCATCATGCCTGCCTCAAAAGCACAAGGTCCTGAGTTCAATCCCTGGTACCAAAAAAAGTTTTTATTATTACCTTTTATCTGTCTTAATCTCACTTGAACTTATTAATAACATTTTCATGATAAAATTTTCATTTGTCTCAACCCTTTACTAAGTTACAATTAATGCAGCATTAATTTTTTTAAAAACCTAGAATTTGAAGGAAATGTGCTCTTGGTAGCAAGCCTAAATATAAAGTACTGCCTTGGAATGTCAGCTGTAACTATTTCCTGACTATAACTGTGGAAAGGTGCCTTTTCTGCATTAAGTTTCCTGGTAGTACTTTTTCATAACTTGAAGTCAAATAATGTTTCCATCATTTTGTTTATTTCACATAAGTATTTTTCTGGCCTACCCAGAAGTTTATTATTTAAAAAATTGTTTCTTAAATCAGCAGGCGCAATGGAGACCCTACTGGCCCGTTTGCAGTGCCAGAGCACCTTCGGCAGGAAATAGAAGAATTCGAAGCTTTCTACGAGCAGCAGCAGCAGTCTAAAGAGTACGTTGCTTGCAGTAAGAAGCTATGGGCTGTTAGCCCCAAACACAAATGTGCTCCCTGTATGAGTGAGTTGGCTGACATTGCTGCAACTGTTTGTATGGAGGCCTCGGTCCTTAAACTTATGTGTCTTAATTCAGTAAAGGACTCGTTTATTGGCCTACCACTCCGGGAGAAAACTATTTTAAAAACCCTTCTTTCTATTAACAAAAATTAATTGAAGATTTTTAATTATTAAATTTAGAGACTAAATAGTCATTGTTCCATCAGTTTGAGCTAATATAGATACTTTCTGCTTCTAAAACTCTCCTGTTCTGACCTGAGAACTGATGAATAAAGCTTTCAGACATGATCTTTTTATCATAAACTCCATCGTATTCGTTTGCCAAAGAATAATACCATTATTTAATCTCATTTTCCTCATGTTGATGCCTGCACAAGGCCCTGAGGTCAATCTGCAGCACTCAAAGGAAGAAAAAGAAAAAAAAAATTGAGGGATCTGATCTCCAGTATAAAATTAATTTAAAAGCTGACCAGTTGCAGTGATGTACCTTATAATCGCTTCAGCACTTGGGAGGACCACACATTTAAGTCCCACGTGGGCACTTTACTGAGAGCCTGTCTCAGAACACCGCGCAAAATGAGATAGGCCTGCAGCTCAGCAGAGCGCGCTGGGGCTTAACGCCTCCTTCCCTGAGAAGAGGAAAGGAAAGAGAACAAAATCTATTCCGAAAGTCCTTTCACTCATCCACAGTAGGGTCGTTTCTTCTATTTTTCCTAAATTCAGTCATTCTTATTTAATCTAATTGTTGGCCATAGGTCCTTGTTTTAGATTTTTTTCCTAGACCGCAATGCTGTGCAAATCTTACTTCCAGATAACCCCTGGATGACATGTGGAAACAGCTACTTAGTTAGACTGGTGCTTCTTAGAATAGACTGGGCTTTGCTTAGGGTCTAAAACCAAAGCTACAGTATGTAGTTTTCAGTAGCTTTTCTCCTAAAGAACTTCTTGCCATTGTAAGTGGGAAGGCTGGGCGTGGTGGTGCACATATGGAACCCCTGCACTAAGGAGGCTGAGGGAGAAGGGTCGCCTTGAGTTTGAGGCCAGCCTGGGCTACACAGACAGACCCTGTCTCAAAAAAAAAAAAAAAAGTTAAAACATTCTAAGTGGGAAGAAATTAAACTTATGAGAATAAAAGACTGATTTGTCTTTAGATATCTATCTATCGGTCTGTCTTATCTATCATACAGTAGTAGAAAACCAAGAAGTTACAGGAAGTTGTATTTCAAAACGTAATTATTTTTTATTTTGTTTTGTTTTGTGGTACTAGAGATTGAACACAAGGCCTTGACACTGAGCTGGGTCTTCAGCCTTTTTTAAAATGTTTTGGCTGAGCATGGTGCTATACACCTGTAATCCTAGCACTCAGGAGGCTGAAGCAGGAGGATCACCATGAGTTCAGAGCTGGTCGGGACTACATAGTGAATTCAAGGCCAGCCTGAGTTACACAGTGACACCTGTTTTGTTTTGTTTAAAAAAAAAGGTCTTTTTGAGGCAGGAGGATTGCTGCCTTTTGAGACAGCATTTCACTACTGGACTCAAAATTGCAGTTCTAGGGGCCGGGGATTTAGCTCAGTGGTTTCGCTGCCTGCTGCGCAAGCACAAGGACCCGAGTTCGATCCCTGGTACCAAAAAAAACCAAAACAAAATTGCAGTTCTTTTCTGCCTCAGCCCCCCAGAGTGCTGGGATAACGGGTGTACTCTGCCATGCCCAGAAAAATATAATTCTTTGAATTTCATAAGTAAACATATGATAACTTAAAAATGGTGATGTGTTTTATTCGTCCCTGTGTGAAAAAGCCTGAGACTGAACTGAACTTTCCAATGTGAAGAGATGGAGTAGAACAGCACTGGACAGGGAGGATGTTGGGGTCACTGCGCCAGCTCCTGCCACAGATTCCCTTTCTCTGGACTTCAGCTTTTCATCTGGAAAAAGGGAATGAGCCTGATTTCTTTTCTTTTCTTTTCTTTTTCTTTTTTTTTTTTGGTACCAGGGATCGAACTCAGGTCCTTGCGCTTTCGAGGCAGACAGCGAAACCACTGAGCTAAATCCCTGGCCCTAAGCCTGATTTCTTTTTCATGACCCCTTCCAGTTCTAACGTTTTATGATTTAGAGAGCTAAAGCAAATTATTCTGCATTGAATTTTTTCTTCACACCACTTGGGTGTTAGCCGAGATTTATTAACCACATCATATTAAGTATGTGACAGATTCCATGCAGCCTGCAGCATTGCGGGAGAGCTCAGCTGATCTAGGCTCACATTGCAAATAAAACCAGTGTTCCGAAGTAAGGACCGTGGGCTTGCTCAAAGCAGTGACTTGCCAAGGAGCACTCCCAGAATCAGTGTGCCAGAAGTGCCTTTCCAAATGTCCTTCCCACCTTGTGCTGCCCCTGTGCTGACAGTGACAGGCACTATGTGTCCATCTGTGGCTAAAGACACCGTTGGTCCTCACCAAGCTGTGACGATTATTTACACACACACAGAAACACACCATATGTACACAACAGCCATCAGTGTCTTTGGTATAATTAGCTGTATTGTTTTTGCTCCTGTTATCTACAATGGGCCTACTTCTTTGCCTCAGATCCTTAAGTGTAGGAATACTGGCCCTTTCAGAGTCCAGTGCTTTGAAGGGGCCAGATCATGAACAAGAAGGTAAATTTCCAAACGTGGCAGCAAATGAAATGGTGCCTTGGAGCATGAGTTGTGTCTCACCTCTTCCCGTGCAGCCTGAGCTTCTTTCCTCTCTGCTGAATAGCCACACCAACACCGGTGTGCACTGTAGTGACGGGCTAAGTGTAACTGCTTAACACTGGACGATGAAGAAATCATATTTTTGCTATTTTACATCCAGTGTACAACCTACCGGGACTACTTTAAGCCTAGAAAAGTCTAAACAATAGAGTTAAAATTCATTTTGTGTTGTACTTCAAATAGCAACTTTAAGGGGCCAGGGATTTAGCTCAGTGGTTCCGCCGCCTGCCTTGAAAGCGCAAGGTCCGGAGTTCCATCCCCAGTACCCCCTCCAAAAAAAACCCAAATAGTAACTAAAGTTTTTCTCACTGGGCATGGTAGCACACACCTTAATCCAAGTACTCAGGAGGCTGAGGTAGAAGGGTCACGGCCGTTTCAAGGCCAGCCAAGCGAGACCTTTTCAAAAAAAAAAACCAATTTTTTTTTTCTTCACAATATAGTTATAGTACCATTTCTTTTTAGGCTAGAGATCCTTGTTGAGTTTTTGTTTTTTGGTTTTTGTTTTTGGTTTTTTTTTGTGGTGCCAGGGATCAAACTCAGGACCTTGTGCTTTCAAGGCAGGTGCCACACCACTGAGCTAAATCCCCAGCCCTGTTGAGTTAAATTTTATTTTCAGTGTATGAAAAGTTCATTGCTACTTAGCAGTAGAAATGGTGAAAGCCGTCTTTCTTGGAAGAAAAAAATTTTCTGATTCTAAAAATAATAATACGAATAAAAATAAAATGTTTAAAGATAGATTAAAATTATGAATAATGGGCCCGAGATTTAGCTCAGTGGTTTCGCTGCCTGTGGCACAAGCGCAAAGACCTGAGTTCGATCCCCAGTACCAAAAAAAAAAAAAAATTATGAATAATTCTGCTACCTAGATATAACCATAGTTAACTTCCGATGTGTATTCTTTCAGATTTAAAAGGTATATACATGTAACACATTTTATAAAAATGTACCAACTGTGATTTTCACGACCTGTTTGGTCATTTGCCTTTTTTACCCTAACAGTGCATGTATCTTTTTCATACCCTTGTCAGTACCCTTCAGGAACATGAGTTCTGGTGCTGGGTCATCACCAGCTGGTCAGCATGGGCATTTGTGCTGCTGATCCCACTTAGTGGTTGGCGCTTTGTCGCTGCATTGCTGAGAGCCATTTCCTTTTCTATAGTCTCTGTTCTTGAGTTAGCACATGTCCAATTGAATTATTGTAGTCCAGGTAGAAAACTTTTATTTTTCAACATTGCTCTTTAGTATTTATTATGGAGAACAAAACTGTCTGACAAATGCTTTAATTTTTAAAAAAGAGTAAATCCCATTCCCCTTCACCAGTTCCTCTGCTGTTGTTTGATGGCAGCTTAGGATCCACTGGGAAGGCCTCTCCGGGGACAGATGGTGGGGCCACTGTTAGCCAGACCGGTCAGCAAGTCCTCAGAAAGGATGCTCCTGAGACTACAGCAATTTCTTTCTTCTCTTTCTTTCTTTTTTTTGGTACCAGGCATCGAACTCAATTCCTTGCACTTTCGAGGCAGGCGCTGTACCACTGAGCTACGTCCCTGGCCCTGCGATTTCTTTCTTTTTACCTTCCTCTCCCTCAGCCTTTTCTGCTTTGAGAGATTTCTCTATAAGAGTGAAATTTGATGGGAATGAATCTTAAAGCCATTTTGCCTTACCTTGGAAACTAACACGTATGTAGTGGCATTTCAGAGTAGACACTGTTCTAGGAGGAGATAGTCATCATGAAACATTAAAATAGACTTGAGATCACTTCTAAGTATTGAGAGCAGCAGAGCTGACATGAGAAGAGGCATTTGGTTTTTACCAGAGTAGCAGTTGCTGTAGGTAGAGGTGAATCATTTTTGTCTCATGCATTTATCTGCTGTGGCAACTGCACAAAAGTTTTCTTCAAGAAAGTGTCACTTTTAACTTTCTAAATAATTTGTTCTCCTTGGTGTCATTAACTTACTAAAAAAGCCCCATGGAAGACTTGCTCTTGAAAAGACCGTCTTCGTTGAGCCTGGCTAGTGTGCCTGTCGGGCTGGTTGTACTTTCACTGACACAGAGCGGTACCGGATGTAATTGAAGACGAAGCCTCTGTGCCACATGCAAGAATGGGAAAAGAAAACAGGCCCAGAAACAGAATGAGCGGCCAGTTCAGAACCAGAGTCAGACTAGGGGGCGCACCCTTCCTTTATTGGTCTAATCAGATAGGATTGATTTCAGGCCCTCTGAACTGCTGCACATTTGCAGTCAGAAACATTTTAATTAATAGATTCACTGTATGCAAATTGAAATAGGATTTTTACAATTTGATTTCTTCTCATTTACCATTTTTCTTGTTGACAGTCTTGAGGAGGGGGTGGGGTCCTGAATAAATTTTCTCGTTTGGCTTTTTTCTTTTTCCAGTACTGGGGATTGAACCTTGGGCCTTTGCACTGAGTTTCATCCCCAGGCGTTTTTTTATTTTTATTTTTATTTTGAGACAGGGTCTCTGAGTTGTTGGGCTGCGCTCAGACTTGCCATCATTTTTCCTCGCCCTCCTAGAGTGCTGGGATTATAGATACCACATACCACATGGCTTATAAAATAACTTGTTGATTCTCTTGCTTTTTTCCAAAAAAAAAAAAAAATAGTCTTTAAGATTACTTTTCAAGAGTAAGCATTTTTTGTTTATTATATTGTTATCTTTGATGTTGGGGAGGGCTTTAAGACCAGTAAGAAGTGAATAGTGTTTTGCTTTGGGAAAATCAACATTTTTATCAAACATGTACAAGTATTTCTTTATAGTAATTCGAGTAAATGTTATTTTTTTCCCCAAGTCATTTCTCTCAGTATGTGGAGGAACAAGGTCCCGTGGACATGGGTAACAGGGTATTCACTGAAGAATATGAGTTTTTCCCAGAAGAAACTCGAAAGATAGTAGAACAAGCCGGAGGCTTAAAGTCTTTTCTCCTAGGATGTCCACGTTTTGTTGTGATTGACAACTGTATTGCACTGAGGAAGGTTACGTTACGGCTCAAGAAAAGAAGAAAGAAGAGAAACATGAAAGCAAAAGCAGAAGAGATTTCAAAAATGGAAGAGTATTTACGAGCTAAGCTATCGCCGAGTCCAACTGCTGGAGCGTCTCAGCCAGACGGACAGCCCAGCCCAGCGTCTGACTCGGCTTCAGCACCTGCTGCTAAGGATGCGGAGCCCAAACCCAAGCCTGCTGAGGCTCCCAAGCCTGTCTGTGAAGACACAAAGCTCGCGCCTGGGCCTGAGAGCTCTTCCAGTCCTCTTTCTGAAGACGAGAAGCCCGAAGGGGTCTCTTGTGATTCGCTCAAGCCACTGTCGAAGGCTGTGACGCCGGCTTATTGGGCTCGGTCACACGTCGTCACAACATTGTGCACCTACCTCCCTTTCCAGGGATTTGGGATGAGCCAGACTCCACCTGCATATATGAACATGCTGCCAGGCTTGCCCCGGTACACCAGCATCTACACGCCGCTGGCCGGCATCTCCTCGGAATACCAGCGCCAGAGGGCGATCGTGCCCCTGGTGCCGTCTCTTCTGGCCAATGACAGGGTGAAGAAAAATGCTCTTTTGTGTTTTAAGGATCCTAATTTGAATGCCGAGAAGGCTGCTGATAAACCGATTGCCTCGGAAACACAGATCTCTGAGGACTCTGTGGGAGGGTCTGGAAAGGCACAGTGGGACCCACGTGAGTCTGACGGAAACGAGGGGCACTCCAGGAGCTCTGACAGCAAGTGCGAAATCAGTGCAGAAAGTGTTCCACGTACGCAGGAGGTTGCTGTACAGGTAAGACTTAAAGGGAAAAGATCTTACTACTGCAGCTGTTTTCCCTTTCATTTTTCACTTAATAAAAGCTTTAGAAATTTTTGATTTTACAACTTTACTGAAGTTTTTGCCTGAAAATATTTTAATAAATGTATGAACCCTTCTAGGGGGTATGACAGGTAATTTTTCCAGAAAGAAGTCTGGGTCCAGTAGATATTTTTCCCTACCCAAGTTGTACACCAGCAGGGGGAGCCACAGCGTCGCCGCTTAATGATCAGAGGTGCATAGGAGGATGTGGGAAGTGGCCCTGACAGGGAAGCCCTCCTAGCACCACTCACCCTGCAGCTGCAGCAAGACTGGGACAGGCGGGAGGGGGAAGGGAAAAGGAAGGAGACAGGCACTTGGTTCCCCAGAGAAATAAGAAAGGGAGTCTGAGTGACACACGCCTAGCTTCTCCTGCCAAACCAGAGAAGGAATGAGAGTTAAAAGAGCCTGCCAGATGGAGAGATGAGAGCCACCCACAGGGGAGTTCCTTCCGAGCAACAAGAGAATAAATAGAGTCCTTTCTAGTAGCCTTTATAGACTGTGAGTTCATTAAATCCTTACTGAATTGCCCCTTTCCTCATTTTCTGTTTTCTAGGAAACTTTGAAACATATGTTTAAGAGTAATAAACCAGTATCATTTCGGTTTTAACTAATTCTAAATGATAACTTTTTCTAATAGAAATGGTATATAGAAAGCATGAAACATAATCTAATTTGAAAAAAACCTTGAAAAAATTGGGGACATATTTTAAAGCGTTACTCATTTCACTAGAGCACCTGAGGTAATTAGAGTGTTCTGTCCCGTAGGTGTCCTGGACCACAACACACCAAGAAGCCAATACTGAGCCATACGGTCCTTTTGAGGGGCAGCAGGTGAGTCATAATTGTGTGGAACTGTTTGAAGATTTAATTTCCATTAACTTACCTAGCTGGAAATGATGAGTTACAATATTTTGGAGCCAGCTAGTTCCATATAAAGTTATCATGGAAGAAACTTTACAGTGTAATAAAAGTTTTTTTGTGTTGTTGTAATTTGAGAAAAAGCAAAGGAATAGATATGTTTTTCTAGCATATTTATTTCAAAGTATAATGGCTTTATTTTAATTTGTATGATGATCATGTTTTAACTTACAAATTTATTCACATGGATGATATAGAAAGATACTATAAAGACCCTCAATACTTTATGAATGATTCAACTAGAAAATCTTTTTATATAATATATTTTGTTAATATAAAAGGTATTTGTAAAAAATAAAAATGAATATATAAATAGAAGCTATTTGTATAGGTGCTGAAAAGGTACTGGAAAAATTCAAGTCTTTTTATTTATTTTTTTACCAAAACTGATAGTCAAATGAGAATTGATGAATATCTTTCAGCATGTTAGTAGCTTTCCCTCCTAAGTCAAAAGCCATTATCCTGTTTAAATTGAAACATCACCATTAATGGAGATAATAACTGACAAAATTAGATGTGAGAAAGAATAAAGGTAGAAAAGAGGTATCATTACTTACAGGCGTTAAAACTATGTACCTGGAAAATCCACACCAGAATAAAAGAATCCAGAAAGGTGATTGGATATAAAAGAACTACCTCTCCATATACTGTGGCAACTTGTTATGAAGTTGTAAGAGTCATTTTTTAAAAAGCAACAAAACGATAAGCTACTTAAATCTGTGTAAAGAAAGCTTTAAAACACTACTTAATGATACACAGAAGACTCAAATGATGAAAAGGAGTTTGTATACTTGGCTAGGAAGACCTACTGTAATAAGGAGATGAGTTCTCCCTAAAGCTTTTTTAAGTTTAGCACAATTCCAGTACACATGTGAACAAATTACTCATTAATATAACAGATTACCTCAAAAATCTAATGGCTCAGAAAAAAACTCAAATTTATCATCTCATATTCCTCTTGGTCAGGAATTCAGGAGCTGTTCCTTGGGGTGTTTCTGGAGACCCTAACCCTGAGATTACCATGAAGGTGTGACCAGGGCTAGGTCATCTGCAGGAGTAATGGGGGCTTGAGGTCCTGCTCCTGCAGTGGCTCCCTCACATGCCTGGCGAGTTGGCGCTGGCAGATGGCAGGAGCCTGCAATTCTTGCCTTGTGGACCTCTACGGAGCACAGTGGCTTCTGGGACTTCTTTGGAAAGTCAGGCTCTATCTTCTCCCCTATATTCTGTTGGCCACAGAACCCACAGCGATGCATGGCAGGAGAGGTTTATACAAGGTTATGAGTAACAAGAGCCAGCTATTGCACAGGATTCATTTGGAACCAGACAGATTGATTCTGAACTTCCCATGTGGACCCAGTACAGTGGTTGTAATCTCAGCTCCTTGGAGGCTGAGGCAGGAGAATTGTAAGTGTGAGGCCAGCCTGGGCCACTTAGCTACTCTGTCAAAATAAAATAAAAAGGGCCGTGGGTGTAAATACGAGAGCATTTACTTTCCATGGGTGAGGTCTAGTTTCCATCCCCACAACAAAAGAAGAAAAGTCCCATGTGGAAGAATCTCAAACATCAAGAATAGGATGGCCAGAGAAAGTAAACTCTAAGAAAGGGGGTTATGCAGCTAGATAGCAAAACCACAGTATCAGCCCTAATATCACACAAATAAGAGTCTGTTAGAACAGAAGAATATACAAACTTAAGGTATAATAAACATAAGAGTGAGCAAAAGTAGATTATTAGATACCAAGTGGTAGGAGAAATGTGCTGTCATCTAGAAAAAATTCAGTTTGAGTTCCTACCTGATTTGTTATACCAAAATAAATTCCAAGCAGATCAAAGATTTAAATATAAAGAAATGGACCCATACAAGTACCCAGGATTAGATCAGTAAGCAGTATGGCAAAAATGTGTGTTGATATACATGTTCACACATATCTGAAGTAATATACATAGTACATATCTGTGAAAGAACAAATACACACAGGATGTCAGAACACACATGACAAATCTGGAAAACTATTTGCAACATGGTGCATATAGAGAATTGATTTCCTTTACATGTAATGGGAAGGAGAAGGAATAAACAGTACAATAAAGAAAATAGATGATTTTCTGTTTGTGTGTGTGAGACAGGATCTCGCTATGTAGTTCAGCCAGGCCTTGAACTCACTATGTAGCCCAGGCTGGCCTCGAACTCACATCAATCCTCCTGCCTTAGCCTCTGGAGTGCTGGGAGAAATAGGTGATTTTTTAATTTTTTAAATTTTCTTATTTTTGGTACCAGGAATTGAACTCAGGACCTTGCACTTGCCAGGCAGACACAACACCACTGAGCTACATCCCTGGCCCTGTTAATTGATTTTTAAATAAATGAAAAAACTGCTAAATGAGAAAACCGGTCCTTTGCGTGTTACTGAAAGATAGAAAATTAAAATCCCTGGGAAAGGGAGAGTAGACTCTGTACTTGTCCGTGTGTGTGGAAACCATTGAGCAAGGACATTTGTTTTTATGCTTTGTCTGTATTTGTGTTCACAAAACATTGAATGCAATTTAAACTTCTATCATGAGTGGACTAAATTATGGTATATCCATTTAGCAAAATATTATGCTGTCATTTAACAAAGAAGTAGTTCTGTAATTACTGCTGTGGAATAATTTACCAAGACCCAAAATACAGTTAAGGAGGAAGAAGTAATGTTAAAACTTTGTGTTGCTGCTATTATTTGAAAGAAAAGTATTATAACTTTAGCCAATTATAAAAATAATATAGAGCCCTTAAATATTTTAAATTCATATTCCTTAAAATTATGAAAAACTGAAAATCATCTGCAGTACGTTCATCTCACCCACGTTAATGAGGTGCAGCCTTCCAGCCCTTCCTGAACGTGTGCTTGTGATTAAGCAGTGCCATTAACAGATGGGATCACACCAAGCAGTTTGTGTTTGAAATTTGTAGTCTTTGACTATATTATTACAGAGCACAGCATCATTTTTCTTTTTTGGGGGGAGTACCGGGGATCGAACTTGGGACCTTGTGCTTGCCAGGCAGGTGGCGGCACCACTGAGCTAAATCCTTGGCCCTAGCACCATCATTTTAAATGTACACTGGGTATTCTACTGTGAAAGTATGATAATTTGGCTCATTTTTTTTTATTGTTGAACATTTAGATTGTGCCAGCTTTCCACGCCTAGAAATAGTGCTGCAGTGAGCATTTTGGGCTACGGATAGCATATACTGAGTAGAGTGCCTGGTATTGAGTTCTTATGTTGACTTAACTCCAAACCAGGTAGTCTCTGTCATTGACAATTCAGTGTTTGTCGCCCTCAAATAGTAAGTATTCTCCGTCAGACCCAGGCTTGTTGGTGCACAGTCTGGGAGGCTGAGGCAGGAGGACTGCAAATTGGAGCACACAGCCTGGACACCTTAGCAACTTGGCAAGACCCTGCCCCAAAATAAAAATGGCCTGGGGATGCAAAAGCATTTTTTTCATCAGTGTTGGGAGTGTTCACAGATGCTTTCTTAAATCAGCCTCTGTTTCAGGACCTGCACACCAGTCTCGTTGATCACTAATTTCTTCACCAGTGAGACTCACGTCTGAATCCCAGTGCTACTGCTTTCTTCTGGGACTTTGAGAAGTTGCCTCACATACCTAACCCCTGACCTGTTAGGGGCAAAAGTAATGCATTTCGCACAGAAATGTGGTGACATTTAAATGTCACAAAGGTAGCATTTAGCTTGCTGCCTGTGTCCGTCAGTGATTTGGGGTATATAGCTTAATATTACAATACCAATTTGCTATTCATCGTGATCCTTGTGGCAGATGGAGAGTGAAAACAAAGGGTAAGATCATGAATCATAAAGTCCTACCCTGGGTCACAGTAAGGTTGACAGTTCACTGTTTGAACTTGGGCTGTATTCTCGGTGCTAAACTCAGTCTGGACAGGCATAAACTGGGCACACCGGCCTGTCTGATCACCCAGCCAGGTTCACAGCCCTCTGATAAACCCTAGAATTTCACATACTTGATTCCTTCCTTTTATACTTGGAAGATGCTCAGGTGTTGAGGGGAGGTATAGGAGATGTGGCAGATGGCCCAGATTTGTGCCATTATTTGTAGGATAGATTTCCACACTCTGGCTGCCGTGGCAGCTGGGAGAAGTTTCCAGCATCCCCTTCCTCAGACACAAGTGTGTGGTTCCAACAGGCCTAGCTGCATGAGAGGATTTTTTTAAAAGCCTTAAATAAGTGATGTTTATCATTTGCCAACATTTTATATTGCAGTATGGCTCCTGGGTTTTGGTTTTTAAGCTGGTACAAGTCACAGATAACTGGAAACAATTCATTGATGACACTTTGTCTGTTTGAAATAACCAGCAATTATCTGTGTGAAACATTTAAAAGTAGTCAAAGATAATATGTCCTATTCATATCTAAAATATGTATAATATGTGCAACTTCTGAAACCTAATAGTTCCTGATGTTAATTGTAGAGCATGACATTCAAGTGAGGCAGGCGGTGAAACCATTGAGCTAAATCCCTGGCCTTTTGTTTTGTTTTGTTTGGTACCAGGGATGGAACTCGGGACCTTGTGCTTCTGAGGCAGGCACCAGAACCCTCACTGAACTAAATCCCTGGCCCAGCATTCAAATGAAACTATTGGTCTAATTCCGAATCCTACTAAAACAAATATTCAGAACTGATTATTGTACAGATTGAAAGGTTTTGTTATAAGTTTAAATAATACAAATAATTGTGTTTTAAAAGGAGCTGGCTCTGCTGAACCATGTTCAGGGGTTTTAATTCCTGCATTGTTGTGACATTTCCCTTGTAAAATTTCATCTTCCTTTTATTCCCTTTGTTTAAGAGACAGTTCATAAATAGGCATTTTAAATGGTTTTTAATAGGTAATTTTATAATTTACTTCTAGGGGGATATTTCACATATTGAAAAGGAGTACTCTGTCTTACAAGAGCAGCTTCAGGAAGTGTGTGAAAATTATGAGCACATAAAACTCAAGAGCTTAGAAGAGACCAGGGACCTGGAAGAAAAGCTGAAAAGGAACCTAGAAGAAAACAAGGTAATCCTCTCTGAAACCCTCAGTAATTGCCTGTGGCGTAACTGGGAGCATCTATGAACCTCAATTAGCTGGAATTGCACTGTTGACTAAACAAAAGATTCTTTCTCAAAGCAGCCCTTTTCAAATGTCTCTAAAACATACGCAAGTGACAGTCTTTTCTGCAAATTGCTTTTGAGAAAAGGACTGTAAATTGGAGTTCATTTATCTGTAATTTACTTGGCCTGGTTACCTAAAACTCTTTTTCTAGTGACTAAGTTCCAAGTTAAATTCGCCTCAGCAGAGGTTCTGACTGAGTCCTGAAGTCAGACTGGGGCTCAGTAGGCTGGGTTCTGTTCTAATAGTTCTGTTCTCGGGCGTGTTACTGACCTCTGTGCTTTAGTTGCTTATCTGGAAAATTTGAGTAATAACTGCTCAAATTTCCTGGGTTTAGCTTACCACCTGTAAAGGGCTTAACCTACCTGGTGTGCTGGAATGGACATGGTAGCTAGCATGCATCTGTGATCCCAGCGCGCTGGCAGCCTAAGGCAGGAGGACCACAAGTAGAGCCCAACCTGGGCAACTTCTCCACCTAATTTGGGAATTCAAACTTCAGAATGGGGCCAGGGATTTAGCTCAGTGGTGCCACCGCCTGCCTCCCAAGTGCAAAGCCCTGAGTTCTGAACCAAGAAAAAATAATAATAATTAAAAATGGTTGGAGATGTAGCTGAGTATCAAGGCCCTGGGTTCAGTGCCCAGTACCCCACCTCCACCTAGTGCATTGGGAGGGCTCAGCTGCCGCTGTCGTAACTGTCAGTATTGCTACCATCATCTTCTCTCACTCCTAAGGCAATAGGAAGAGACCTCCTGCAGCCTTAGGTGTATTAGAAGTGTCACTATCAGAGCATCTGCTTTGAATCTACAGATCTGGACTTTTGTTAGTTGAGACTGACCAGTGGAGTAGTCCTGGTTATGGGCAGGGCCACACTGAATTAATGAGACAGTGGAATTATAGATGTGAGAAAATGATGGTTTCTTTTTTTCTTTTTTTTGTACCGGGGATCAAACTTGGGACCTTGCACTTGTGAGGCAGGAGGCAGAACCACTGAGCTAAATCCCCACCCCAACACTGTTTCTTTTTTAAAAGCTGCTGTCTTCTATTCAGAAAGGTAGAAAAAAAAAAAAAAAGAACATATTTAAGAAGGGAAGAATTTGTTCCAGAAGTCTGGATCAATTAGCTGGAGTACCATATTAAATAACAAAAAATGAGCTTAATGGGACCTTAATCAAGAAACTCGTTTATTTGAAATTTAACTGAAACCGGAAGAAAAGGGTCCATATGTAATGGGTGCTGTCATCTCCCCAGGACTTGTTTACACTCAGGACAAGACAGAGGTTCAGAGAATGAGAAGAGTTATATGGAACCAAAGATTTTTCTGCTCAGTTGCCTGGTTGGACAGGGGAGAAATATACTAAAAACAGCATCAACCACAGCAACAAAAACCTGCCTAGCGCATGACACACGGTACACAAGTGTGAATAAACTCTAATGCCTCTAACAAGGACTGCTTGATCCCTGTCACCTCCACACTATAAAACCTGCTTCCTCACTGAAAGGCAACATTGATGAGACTAAGCGTTGCCAGGCACTGATGACTGCAGAAGCTGTCACAGGAAAGTGCTTAGGGCAGTGCTATACTGCGGCTCACTGAGTCATGGCTACTACTTGCCACTGTTACTCATTTCTCAGGGAGAAAAGGAGGGTTAACAAAATAGAATATTGCTACAGACTTTCATTGCTGCAGGAAGGGTCAGTTTTAGGAAATCACCTGGGAGTGCCTGTGGCCAGCATGAGTGACAGTGCAGATTGGGCCCCAGTCACTGAAGGCGGCTGTTTAGTGAGTGAAGGTTTCATTCCTGGAAGCCAGAGGCTTTCCCAGCTTTATAGCCTGATGGTCTGGCTCGGTACTGTATCGGTGAAGCTACAGGACAGAGGGCAACCTGGGAGGAAGGAGCAGCTCTGATGGGTGTTCTCAGGCCCTGGGCTTCTTACCTAAGTACGGCTTTGGGTCTGCTAGACAAGGGGTGGATATGTGATGAATGTTTAGATTTTAAAAATGGATTACAGTAAAAGACACACTGCCACTAATCCCCTCAAACAACACATTCCATTTTTCTTGCCCTTCCTAAAGCAGTTCTGAGTCCTTTTTGGGGGCTGCCTGTGTAAGATATGATAAAAAATGTGGTGACTGCTCCTGCTAAATGCCATCCAAGAGAAAGGCAGCTCATAAAAACATGACAGTGTGTCCTCATCCACCTGAGTCACTGGATTTGGCACCATGCCCAAAGTAATACGACTGTGAAAGGTTAACATTTTGAATCAAGACAGGATATTGAGGCAGCCGTGACAGCACAACTGAAGACGTTCAGGAAAGGTGACTCCAGAGCTGCCTCAGAATGTGGCAAGAACAATAGGTCAAAAGTGTTCAGAGCAAAGGGGAGTATTTTGAGGGAGATTAATGCATTGTATTTTTTACTGTAATAAATTTTTTTTCCGGTACCGGGAATTGAACTCAGGACCTTGCACTTGCCAGGCAGGCATGGCACCACTAAGCTACATTCCTGTCCCTCTAATAAATTTTTTTAAATTTAAAGTTACACTGGATTTTTTTTGTTCTGTTTTTTGTTTTTTTGGTACTGGGGATCAAATACACTGGATTTTTTTATCACACCACATGTGGCTGTACTCTGGTGTAGTCAGTCCAGGTTTTAATGGGACGATTCTTTAGCCCCTCAGAGTATAGGCTTGGCACATCTTTAGACTTCCCTGGTGAGATGTGTACCTGTTTGGTATCAGGATAAATTGCCAACCTGAATCCCTTGGTTTCTGTCCACTCAAAAGCAGATAGGACTTAGCAGTGGTCATTTCTTTATTATTCATGTAGCAGCTATGTGATTAAAGGGTGTGTGGTATAAACAGCAAATGAACTCACATCGTATTTTTACTGCCTGAGCTGAGTCTGGGCACATGCGTGTGTTTGTAATACTTTATGCCTTTTGTACCTGACCTCCCTGAGGAACTTGTTGCCAAGTAGGTTCTCATGCCCCAGCATAACCTTAGGCTGCACCTCCTCTTCCAGCCAAGAGCCAGGCCCGAGGTGAGATCATGGGCCCTGAGTGGAAACGGGACAGGTGAGAAGCGCAGTTGGCTTGGCTGCCGGTAGCAAGACCAGCAAATCGACATTGGTCCTAGTCCCAGAACTGAGCCAGGTGCAGTGCCAGGTCTGTAAATAGAGAGGCTCGGGAGTCGCCTAGGTCACAGTAATGACTTGACACATTCAGAACCAGCACGGAAAATGCAGGCAGGACCCACCTCCAGGCTGAGTGTCACTGAACACTGCTGAGCCCCTGCTGCCTGCCCCAGGACAGGAGGTCTCTGCCTTTCACAGCCCCAAGTCACCCTGCCCCTGCAGTGAGACTCGGAAGTCGGAAAGGAGCAGGACTGGTTAGCAGCTCTGCTTCCCAGGCACATTCAGTCTCGGTGTCTACAGCTAAAGGAGGAGAAATGGCCTCTACGTTGGTACCGCTTTTGACTTGAGGCCCCGTGGAGGCCCAGCAGGTTGACTTTGGGTGCACTGTCTTTTCTTGGAGCAAGGCCCTGTGTTTCTGTAGTGGAACCCTTGTCCTCAGTAACCTAGCTGTGTTTGAACCTAAGCAGGAAGTTAAAGCTACAGCAAACCTGTCAGGAAGGGAAAGTTGCAGTTTTCCCTAGAGCAGCAGAATGTCCACCCCGCTGGGCAACATGGCCCCAGACAGCTAGGAATGTGGCCCCACAAGATTTAGATTTTTAATATTATTATTGATTTCCAGTGATTTTTTTTTTCATGACTTGATTGTGCGATCTTGAGCTTAGACTCTTGTCGATGACAAAGGCACGCTCTGTAGGAGAGGACGCAGTGCAACACTACCTCCACCTCCTGCACCTGCCAAACAGCCGAATCAAAGCCACCTGAATCAGCTGTCGCCTGCACTTGTGCAACTGGCAAGTCAGATGCAGCAGTTACTGTTGCTAGTGTGTCAACCTCCCCATGTGGCAGTGCGCCTACTTAAGCTTCCTTACTTAAATACTAAATTTGGGCTTGTGTTATTTAGCAAAATAATTTAGTAAGTTAAAATATTAAAAAGGAAGTTCATTACTGGTATATATTTATTTTATATGCAGCCCAGAACAATTCCTCTTTGCTCATTGTGGCCCAGGGATGCCAGACGAGCGCCCCAGAGCAGACAGGAGTGAGAATTTCCTTCAGTGGCCATTGGTGACCATGGGATCTCGAACCGGAGACTTCTTAACATGTTGCTGTTAGTTGTTTCTTGTAAACAGTGTTCTGATTATCTGGTTCACGTTTAATCATTAGAAATACTAATATATGAGGACATTTTCCTTATAAGTGACTGCTGGGATTTCTAATAACCATGTGCCCTGCCCACACCCCTGGCTACCACTGACTGGATGGTGCTTCAAAAAAGACCTAGAACTTTCAGAGCATTTGTAAGTTGGGGCATTTCGGAAAGCAGCAACTGCAGAACCAAGCTGACCACAGGGACAGGGTGTCCAGTGGCATTGAGCCCCACCCTCCTAAGGCATGGAGAGGAGATTCACTTCTATGTCATACTGCCCAAAACCCTGGTGGGCATTCACCCCGGATGCGTTTGAGCATCCAGAGGAATCGCATTTATATTTTTTAAAACAAACAAAATGTACAGGACTTGGCAACTAAAACATGTTTCAGGCCCCTCTGGATGCGGGTGGTGTGTGGTATGGGTGAAGTGTGAGTGCCTAGATGCCTAGTGGTTCTGAGTGGCTTCCTGTGGCCCAGTGTACATGGTGCTTGGCATGTGGCTGTGCCGGCTGACTCTGCAGCCCGGGGCAGGTGTACCACGGGGCACCAGCTCACGGACCTGTGCTCCCAAACTCGACCGCTGTGACAGCTGAGATGCTGTCGCCACTCTGGTCTTTCAGGTTTGGTTTTGTTTTTAAAGTAAATCTTGCCATTTATTCAAATACTTCATAAAAATTTTTTTTTTAGATCTCAGAGACAGAATTAGATTGGTTCATCCAAGATTTGGAAAGAGAATTTAAAAAATGGGAACAAGAGAAAAAGGAAATCCAAGACAGACTAAAAGCAATGAAGAAGAAAATTAAAAAGGTTTTGAATGCCAATGAAATGTAAGTGACAATTAAAAGACAGTCATTTTTATTTTTTTAATATTCTGGGGTTTTGTGGCTCTTTCCATATTTCTTAGAGTTAATTTCAAATTGTGTCAAGTAAAAATTGATAGATAAAGCTTTTCCATTGTTTCTGTCTCATTTTAAAAAGCATCTGCTGAGTACCTCACCTAAAACTGTTTCTAAACCTAGCGATTTTCAGATAAATCACATCGAAGGGGGAGTAGCCTGGCCTGGGAGACCACAAGGGGCTGGTTTCTTTCTGATTTGAACACCACCACTCACTGTGAACATAACCTTTTACCTTCTTTTCCTTATTGGTAAAATAAATGGGTTGAGTGTAGATCTAAGGTGTTTTATTTATACTTTGATCTAAATCTTTAAATTATTAAAATTGGGTCTTATAAAGTGAAGAGTGGCTCATCCACCCAGACCTAGGTGTAGTTGTCCCATGGGCCCCTCTGATCCTCTCCTAACTTCTGCTCCAGATGGTGTTATGCCACGTGGTTCCTCAGCCTGTTGTCATCTGCCCCGGGTGACAACATCTGCACTCTGGGGCCAGAGTGAAGCTGTTTCCCTTGCTCACAGTCGTGTGGGCCGGGCCGGGCTGGGTTCTGCTGCTGCCCTGGGCAGCCGTCCCCCAGGTGCTGATCTGGCATAGCTCAGCCTCTTCCTGCCCGTTAGGTTCCACAGCTCTCATCCCTTGTAGCCTCTTCAGCTTTTCTCTACATGGTCCTACCGGGAGGCCTCCAACATGGTAGCCAGATTTGGGATGGTTAAGGATTCCCAGAGGTGCAGCCCTGCCGAAGATTCAGGCTCAGAGCTGTCCTAGCATCACTCCTGGCACGTTCAGCTAGTGCAACTCTCAGGCTTGCTCAGATTCAGCAGCATGAAGAAGGGGAGGATGGTCCGGCCGGCCTGGAATCCCAGCACTCAGAGAACTGGGACTTGAGGTCCTTCTGCCTTGGCCTCCCATGTAGCTGGAGGTAGAGGTACATGCCACCACACCCGGCTTGTCATGCCATTTGGATTGTGGCCAAAGAAGTTTTATTAGTAGAGCACATTTATGAAAACAGCAGTGTCTGTAAAGCTCTGAATCGTTGTAGATGTAGATGATGTTATTGAAGGTGTGGTGACACAGGCTTATAACCCCGCCACTTTAAGAGGTTGAGACAGGAAGATCCCAACTTTGAGCCCAGCCTGGACCACTCACCAACTGAGACCCTGTCTCAAAATGAAAAATACGAAAGGGCTTGAGGATATAGTGCAGCGTTATGTATTCAATCCCTCATACCGTGAAAAAAGAGTGGAAATATTTGTATATCTTATATTTTTATGTGTTCATGTCAGACATAGACAAAAATTCAGCTATCACTAGACGAAATTAACCAGGCTGTAATAAAGAAAACTTTTCTCTGTAATAGCATAAAAATCAGCTGTTTTCCCTGTGGAATAGCTTTTTGTTACTATTTTTCACTTTAATATTTCTTTGCCTTTTCTGTCACACCTTAAAGATAAGCCGTAAGTTTCTCTATCCTTCTTCCTCTCTGCTTTATGAAGAAACACTTTAAAACTGAATTTTTTATGTTCAGATTTTTTGAAGTAAAACCTCAAGATCTTTTTGGATCCCTTTCTTAGACATGCACAAGGGTATGAGGAATGATTTCATTGGATTTGGTTGATGTCTACACGTCTGGTCTCACTTACTCATTGGAAAAAGGCTAGGACTTAAAGTTTAACTCATTTGGGTTTGTTTTTTTTTGGTACTGGGGATCGAACTCAGGACCTTGTGCTTGCAAGGCAGGCAGCAGAACCACTGAGCTAAATCCCTGGCCCTTAAAGTTTAACTCGTGATTGGGGCAGTGGCACTAGCCACAGGTGTCTGTGAAAGATGGCAGAGTTCCGCGGCAGTGGTGAGGTTTTGGGGAGGGAGGAAGCCCTGTACCGGAGGAGTGCAGTAGTCGTCCCGAGGGCCTGTGTCTGGGCTTGGTAGGTAGTGTGACTACACGGGCGCGTGAGGGTGACTGGAAAGAAGGGGCTGACCCTGCCCGCCACTGCCCTTGCTCACAGCAGGGGCCTGTGTCCTGGAGGGCTGAGGCAGACAGGCGAATGCGGGCGCGTCTCGTTTCACTTACTGAAGAGCCAGAGACTGCTTCCATTTTCACACAGCCACATGTTCTTTGAACGAGAGAGCTGCCTACACGCATGGCCCTGCCACTGTGTGTGTGGAAGGCATCCGGGCTTCCCTTCCCCACCGGGGTGGGGTGGCCCGTGAGCACATGGCTTGGTGTGCAGCAAAGCTGGCTGCCTCCAGGGGTTAAAGGAAGAGTCTCCTGTTTTTATGAGATATAGAAATGAAACAAAATGTAGAGACGTAGCATACTCAAGAAATGCTAGTATGGGGCCGGGGATGTAGCTCAGTGGATTTAGCTCAGCGGTGCGGCGCCTGCCTGGCGGGCACAAACTCCTGAGTTCGATCCCCAGTGCTGAGGGGAAATGTTTGTATGGGTGTGGGTGCGATTTACTGTGTAGAGTTGTGTTGGAAAAATCTGAGCATCAATTAAACTTGATGACTGTGTTTTTATAGGTCTACCCAGAAAAATGATGGAATGGATAAGGAATATGAGTTACATCTGGAGCAGTCCTCTGAACACAGGCAAATTAAGCTTAAATTTACTTTTAACATTTTACACTGTTACAACCAGAGATAAGCACACTAGCCGTCTAAATATATTTTTGCTTGTTTCTTTTAAATAATTATACATCTATTTTATTTCATTTTAAACTAATATTTATATTTAAGCATTTTAATTTTGCTGTTTCTGCTTTTATTTCCCATTGTCTGTGTAAAATCTCCTGAATCTATTGTCAATTATTTCTTTTATTTTCCTGAATTAACTTGAAACTAAAAATGTGCTTGAAAAGTTTCCTCTTGGGCTGGAAGGCATGTAGCTCAGGGCACAGCACTTGCCTGGCAGCGTGCAGGGGCCAGCGTGGGTTCCTTTCCCATCAATCACTGCCCCAAAAAAACCCCAGAAACTTCTGTGTTCCCTAAGTGTTAGTCACAACTATAGAATGGTAGTTTGTTGTGCTTGTTGCTGTGTAATTATTGTTTCATTAAGGACTTTTATTACAGGCCTGTAAAGTTTCCTTTTAATCTTCATTAATGGACGTTATATATTTACGTACCAATAGTAAGCAGTTGCATTTTGCTTTTCTCATTTAATATTGTTCTACACATATATTTCCATTCTCCTCCTGGTCCATGGCCTTCTTTTTTTAGCTACCCCTTTATTGGACATTTTGTTTTGTTTCCATTTTGTACCTATTTTCAAAGTATGACCATGAGCTGGGCATGGTGGTGCACACCGTAATCCCAGCACTGGGGAGGCTGAGGGCAGGATGAGGACTGCGAGTTTGAGGTCAGCCTGGGAAGACATTATCTGAAGACAAAACAAAACAAAATAATTAAAACTGTGAATAACTTTGGACAGATCACTTTTTTCCTTTGGATCGTTTCCTGGTGATATGTGTCAGTATAGAATTTCTGGCTCAAACGATGAGGGTTAGTTTATAAAGTCTGATCAAGATAACCACATTGCATTCCACCTACCCTCCTAAAATCTGCGATCTGGTACGGGGCCCTCACCTGTTTCTCAGCAGCCCTCCGAGTACTCCCCATGGATTTTGTATCTTCCTCTGACCATTTGTAAAGCACGGAGAGCACGCGTGAGCATTGTGTGTCCTGTTATCCACTAGAATAACCGATGTCATGGCATCGTGATCTCAAAGCTGACCTGGCTTGAAGCCTTGTACTCTCCCTGGCTGGATTTGTTTTCAGTTATTTTTTTTTCTTTTAACTTTCGCAGTAACACATTTACAGATGAGAGAATGAAAATAGAAGATGGTATAAAAAAGGGGAGAGAACATTATGAAGAGAGTCACCAAAGGGCTCTGATTGCAGAGGTGAGACCTGCATGACACTTGGTGACCAGTAGATATGGCGTAAGGCCATTTGTTTGCTTTTGTTTCTTTAATTACATATGACGGTAGCAATGTTATTGCAAAGGGTGAGGGATCAGGGATACCCTACCATCCTAAAATATACCTTTCATGTTGTTACATAGAGGCACTCAATATATACCAAATTTTGTAACCTGCTTTCCTTATTTAATAGTATAAGTCAGGGGCCGAGGATTTAGCTCAATGGTTTTGCTGCCTGCTGCACAAGCCCAAGGATCCAAGTTTGATCCCCCGTACCAAAAGAAAAAAAAAAAAGAAAGAAAGAGGTTAATAGTATAAGTCAGTTATTTCTCATACTATACATTTTGCATAGTTCTATCTTATTTAATCAGTTGTGTGCCATGAAGTAGTAAACCTAAAACATTTGCCAATCCTTGAAAAGCAAATAAAAATACCCCACTTGTTAAATATATACTCTGCTCTCCCCCTAGAAAAATACATACCCATGTTTGAAAAAGTACTGAGACAAAAATGAAAATGATGTCTGGCTTTTTCTCTATTTCTAAAACATGGTGTCTATGTTTTCCTGGCTGAGAAAGCAAATGGTATTTATTGGTAAACGTGTCTGTAATTGTTCAAGGGAAATAAGAAAAGAGTTAACTTATGCAGTCTGCAAACATTAGGGTTTTCCACTGAATTGGGCCATGTGGCACTTCTAAGAGAAGGAAGGGGAATAGAGCCAAAGTGTGCAGACTTCGAGGCCCCTTCTCCACACCTGTACTCCTGACGTAGTGCAGTTCACATTTACCTCCACCTGCCAAGTAGGTTTGCCTGGAGGGCCCCTCGAGGTTACTGACACTGGGATTAACATGTTCACAGTTGGATTTGAATGTGTTATATTTGGGGCCTCGGGAATGTGTTAAAACAAGGCTATTCTACATTTCCTGCAGTAATTCTTACAGACATGGCGTTGACTTGTGGGAAACCAGGGGCCCTGAAGCATGGCTGTTAGCGCTGAGAGCAGCTCCGTGGATAGAGGCTTTCTGATCACAGCATGCTGCCCAGCTCACTCTGCAGGCCCCGGCAGGCCCCGGTGTGCACATTGTTCACCCGGCTGTGCTTGTGTGCATTGTAAGCAGAAAGCCATGTGCAGTCATGCCTGTGAGAAGGGTTCCAAGTTGTATGGCCTTCGTGTACTTTTATTACACTGTTTTCAAACCCTAACATTTTCATTTGTGTTCACCTGGAAGAAGTTATGACATCAAGTTCTGGTGATCTTGTCATCATAACTCATTTAAGGAGAAACTGGAAAGTGGTTTGGATTGTTTCCATTTTAACCCTTAAAATAGTTTCAGGTTTCGTGAAATGCTTAAACGTCATCTGATCTGTTGGCAGGTATCTGTGCTTGAGAACTGGAAGGAAGGTGAAATATATAAGCTACAGACCATGGCATCCAAAGCTGAAGCCTACCTGAAGCACCTCATGAGCAGGTGGTGTGGCCTCCCGCGTGTACTTCTGAATCGCTCTTAGGAAACAGGGATAGAAGCACCTGAAAACAACTCTTTTGTTAAATACTAGGACCATTTTATTTTTGATAGTTTTACAACATGTTCAGTTGTAAAAAAAAGCATACAAACAAAAATGAGTTAGAAAATGATTCGTAATTCTAAATGAACATATAACTAGTTAAGACTTTGGAATAAATTCATTATTTGGGAAAAATGAAAGTTTATACCTTTTTTTCACTAGTATATTGGAAATTTTCTTCATATTGGTAATTATAGTTCTTCAACCTGATTTTGAAAGGTTGAGTGTATTCTAGCCTACGAACATGATTTATCAAACACCGTTGAGGTGGGATAGTTTACTTATTTGCAGATTTTTGTTAATATAAGCTGCACTATAGCAAGCAGCCTTATAGTTAAGTCATTATGCACATTATTAGTCATTTCCATGCAAAAAAAAATTCTGAAACAAAGATGATATTTTCAAGGCTCTTAAAATTTTTGCCCCATTCTTTCCATAGTAATTTATTTAACAGTTTCAGTTGCAGAATATGGGAATGTTACTATGAAGGAATATCACGTGTTAGATTTTTTTCAACTCTTCATAATCTTTACCTGTTTTGATTGTTTTGCTTTGTTTCTAGTATAAGGTTTAGCTGGGAATCCTAGAGGGTCTTCTGCAGCCTGGCACTTAGCACTTCCCTGTGTGGCTTTTTGTTTGCTTGTTTTTACGGCACTGGGGATAGAACGCAGGGCCTTGAGCATGCTACATAAGCTCTACCCCTGAGCTACACCCCCAGCCCTGTGTGGCTTTTCACACATAGGACTGCCTTTCTTCGGGTCCCTTTATCATGTTCTACACACAGGTTTTACATTTTACTCCCAGCTTTTTCATTCTTCCTAGTGCTTATTTTTTTATTCAGATTTCAAACCTTCAGAGTTGAACTAGAGATTGTGTGGGTTATGGGAAAAGTTTTGTTTTGTTTTTTGTTTTTGTGTGTGTGGGGTTTTTTTTCCTGAGACAAGGTCTCTCTATGTAGGCTAGCCTTGAACTCACTGTGTAGCCCAGGCTGGCCTTAAACTCAGGACAATCCTCCTGCCTCAGCCTCCTGAGTCCTGGGATCACAGGCATGCGCCAGCATGCCCGGCTTGGGAAAAGTTTTAGTATTGTCCTTTTTCTTCATTTTCAAGATCTCATTTTTTTTCACTAGAAAATGTGTTGAAAGGTAAATGGGTATGCGGATTCAGATCACAGGGCTAGTACTGCTGAGGCTGAGACCAAGCTGTGCTCAGATGCCTCTGTTAATAAGGAACTTGCCATCGGCCACTTCCTGGGAAACAGTTGCCTCAGACCTCATTCGGTGCCGTGGTTTGCTTCCTTCTATCAGATCTTGTAGTATTACGGAGATTATTTCTTAGGGATGCTGCGCATCCTCTGCCTTTTCATGCCAGGACAGCAAGAGACAAGACAAGGGGAAAAGCACGAGGAGTGAGGAGGAGGGGAAGGGGAAGTAAGTAGAATAAAGAAAGGCCGTGTGCAGGACCCTAATAACAATCAGGGTAAACATGATATGCCGTAACATGAGCTAAGGTTGATAATATCAACAGGAACGAAAAGCGATAGGGGAATTGGAGGTGGGGGGATAAAAAAAGAAACAAGCTGTGGTATGTACAAATAACCACTCCCAAGATGATTGCGAACCGCATCTATGTCCTAATGAAATAAAAAATTTAAAAAAACAAGACTTAGACGAAACATTCTGGGGCCAGGGATTTAGCTCAGTGGTTCCTCCGCCTGCCCCACAAGCACAAGGTCCCGAGTTCAATCCCTGGTACCAAAATAAACATTCTGGGACTTCTTTAATCTGTGTGAGGAGAACTAACAAGATCACAGATTGATGTTACTGATCTTTTCAGAACTTATTTGTCACTTTCCACACACCAGACCGACGAAGCGCTGAGGCCATAAATTCATCTTGGTCTGTTGGGCCCCATCCTTTAGTTTCCTAGTAAAGTGGGGGTTTAGTTTAGGTCTTCCTGAAAAGATTTGAGTGTTCTTGGCTGTCATTTTTAAAGAAAAATTTTAAATGCAGACAGACTATAGGTGAGGGTATCAAGATGTGAAATGAAGAATGATCAGATTTGAGGGAAGAAATTAAAATTCATGAGAACATTTTTTTCTGGCCACCAGTTTAAGGCTTGTTGTTATTATGTCAGTAATTAAGGTTTTTCCAAAGTGACTCTACTAGCAAGTCTGCAAAATACAGAAACATGCCCACCCCACCCCACAACCCAAGTTCTGGGAACTGAACCCAGGGCCTTCCCACTGAGCTGCAGCCCTTTTGGCTAAGGCAGGAAGACCGCCGCAGGTTAAAGGCCAGCCTGACCTACAAAGAGACCTGGTGTTTTTGTTTCTTTTTTGAGATGAGGTCTCTCTAAGTCACCACGTGCCCAACCAGGGTTTGAACTTGTGATCACCTGCCTCAGCCTCCCTAAGTCCTGGGATTAAGGCGTCTGCCACCGTGTCAGGCTGAAATACACGGCCCTTTAAAAATAATAATTGTATTGGAGTGTGTGTGAAATGAAATTCCTGTTTGTGTTCACTTACATTCACATGCTTTTAATTTTTAAATTTCTACAGTTAATATTAAGCAGTTTCATATTTTTATGCCTTTTCAGTGATTCTGCAGCATATCCCAACAAGGAATCTGATATACATTCATGGGAATCATTTATTTCTACTGTTGCAAAAGAAATTACAAAAGCAGAGGTAAGCGATAAAATACGTCATAATTCTGTCAAAATCTTTATGATAGTTCTCAGAAAACTAATGTCATAAATTTTGTTGAAATCATTAGGAATTTTTCAAGAAACCAATGACATGTTCTTAAGTAAGTAGTTGCCCTGGGGCTGGGATGTAGCCCCGTGGTAGACATGCTCTCCCTAGCAAGGTGATGGCCTGGGTTTGATCCCCATTACCTCTTTAGAAGGAGTGTTATCTTAGACTTTGCCTCTGAGTGGGAAGATTAGCGAAGTTATATCTGATAAAGCTTTACAATATTCTGACGAATGAGGTCTTATTTTGAACCTCTTTCCTTATAAGAAATAATTGTCTTCATGCCTTGCATCTTAGTTAATGTTTCTTAGAAACTTCTTGACCATTTGTAATGCATAGTAAGAAAAAAGAATTAACTGAAAAATTATAGTTTTCCCATGAAATGTTAGGAAAACTTCACATTTTCTCTTCTGCCCACAGTCTCAGTTTGAAGACCAAATTAGGGCAATTAGAAATGGATCTCGGCTCCGAGAACTTCCTCAAGTGCGAGTTTCTGAGCTTTCATTTCCTGCCTGTAAAGTGGTAAGTCCATTGCCGTTTCTCCCCTAAGAAAACATAACGAAACAGTTTACCTGGCCAGAGCAGTTTGTTACTGTCTGCCACAGATGGGGTGGAGTGCAGGGGCAGTTGCCCTCCTGTGGCCATCGTTGTGCTACCTGCTGCCCTTCCAGCTCTGAACACCCTAACCGTGTGCACAGGCAGGGCTGGCGGAGCCACTGCGAGTCTCTGTGTCCGTCGCTGCGCTGCTGGTGCAGGCGTGGGGTGTGGCGTCCTGGCCTGGAACTGGCACAGGCGCAGCAGGCCCTGTGTTATCACCGGCTGGGATTCTGCTCTCTCCTAGGTCCTTGGGGACGTAAGACCAGAGTCTTACAAGAGAGATGAACACTGCTGGAGGGTCTTTGTTGATCTGACACACCATTTTTTACTGCAGTTTAGTTGTGATTGCCAAACCATGTCTTTTTATTTTAAACTTCACAACACAGCAAAGAATACCATTAATTTTATCTTGTGGACTTTACAGTGTGGCTGACCCTGGCCTCACTGTTGAATTCTGGGGTACTTATTTCTTTTTTTTTGAAAGAAAATCTTTTTTGGGGGGTGGTACAGGGATTGAACTTGGGACCTTGTGCTTTCAAAGCAGGTGGTGGCACCACTGAGCTAAATCCCTGGCCCTCGGGTACATATTTCTAAGATTTGAACACAGAACAGATGTGCTATAAATGTAAACAGATGAATTAGGGCCAAATAAGATCAGACTGAAAGAATTTAAAGATTATTAAAGAGTTGGTTTGAGGTGTCTCAGCCTGTTTTTCATGCCATTGAACAGTACTGGTCCCTAAGGATGGAGGCAGCCTGTCCCCGGCACCTCATTGCTTCTTCCTGCTGTTCCAGGTGTGGCCTGGACTCTTCTCTGCCTGGAGTGCTGTCCTCCCTGGGCCTCGTGCCCTGTCTTGAGAGCCTGTCGGGCCCTCCCTTGGCCTCCTCCAAGCCCATTAGACTCAGGCCCCTCCAGCCAGCCTAGTCTTAAATCTCTTACGGGTGAAGAAGTGCAGCCACCTTGAACTAAGTAAATAATTCTTTTGAGATCTGGACTTTTTCTCTCCGTTGGACTGAGTAAGAAATATGGTTTTATTCACAATCAAAGATCACTTCTCATAAATTCTTACAGCAGGTATGGAGAGAAGAAACTTTGGATCCCATAGATTATTTTACTATTGATTTATAATTTTAGTTTCATCATTTTATAAATACTCAAAAGAATTTTCACATCTAAACCCCTGTGACCTGTCAGTGTGCCAGGAGCCTGAGTAGTAAGTGTCCCTGAAAGCCGTTCACTCCGTGTCTGGTTCCTGCCTCATCCATCCCCTGGGTGTTTAGTGGTGATGAAGATTAGACACGGGCGGGGTTGGGAAAAGACAGCACCCACAGCCACCTATGGCAGAGGGCAGTGCAGGTTTCCCTGCAGGGCCCCGTAGCAGCGCTGGGCCCTGGAGACCCAGGGTACCTGGCCTCGAGTCCCAGTTGGAAGTCTCAGTGAGACACGGCCTGGAGGAGAACCGGGGAGGGAAGGAGGTAGTGATGCTTTCGAGAACAGAAACAGCTAGGAAGACAGAGGGGCCTTGCTATGTTCTCGGATCTAAAACAAGTTCATCTTGACAACAAGGGTTGCAGAGCCACCCTGGGGCCAGGAGCCAGGCAGCCCTGGTCACTAAGCTATGTTAAACAGCTTGGTGACCTCTGAGGCCACCGGGAAGCCAGAAGGTTTAGGGTAAGGGAAGGACAGCAGGTCTGAACTGTGCCGAGGAGCTGGCCGGCAGTGTGGCGAAGTGGTAACAAGGACGGAGAGATTTCCAGTGGCCCCTTGTTGGCCTGCTCCGTGAGCCGTGTGTGGGTGAGGGTGCGGCAGCAGGAGTGCAGGAGGAAGACAGACAGGAGAGGCATTGAGGAGGAAGAGGTGAACACTGCGCTGCCCACGAGAGCAGGACACAGAGTCCAGGCTGCACCAGGCACTGAGTTTGGGTCACCCTGGAATGACCCACGAGGATGTGCAGATAGGGATCCAGGAAAGGAACTAGAAAGTGGGTACACTGAGGCTTGGGGCAGTGACCAGTGGCCAGGGAGAGGAGAGCATACAGTGGAAACGTGGGCCTCGGGCAACAGCCAAAGGGGCGTCCACACTTAGGGGATGGACGGGGGTGAGAACTACAAGTGGCCCTCTCGGGCAACAGGGGTGTGGAGCCTGGCTGAGAATGTTGAGGGGGGCGGGGGCACTGCCAGACGACCCTGGGGCTCAGGGGTGGCAACAACTCTGGGGAACACCGGGATGGCCACTGTCCGTCAGTCAGCCAGGAAGGGGCATGCAGTGAGGCGCTCACAGGGAACCATGGCAGGTGAAATGTTCTCACTCAGGCAGCTTTTCTAACTCGACAGAGAAAGTTATGAGTTACTCAGAAATGACAAATCTGCCTCTGTTCTGACAGCTAGCAAGTTGTGATCAGTAATTCTTTTAAAACAGATGTAGCTCTTTGCATGGAAGTTTCCTGTGTGCTTCATCACAGTCACATCCAGTCATCTGTCTCTGTCCTTGGGGTTCCTCCTCTTCCCTGTCTACAAGCCCTCGGGGGTCTAACTCCGGCTCTGTGGCGTGTTCACAGGTCTGTGCCAAGTTAGACCCCGAGTGTCCAGGCCCTGAGAGTCAGGTGCCTGTGACTCCTGCAAGCAGCCAGACCGGGGCGGATGGCCAGGATGACTGCTCAGGAGAGGCCCCTGCTGCACCAGCACCTTCTGGGCAGCCGGAAGTGGCTCCACCGCCAGAGCCCCAGAGGGCCAGCCAGGCAGCTCCGCCAGCACCGAGCCCCGAAGCAGATGAGGGACAGCCTGTTCCTCCGGAGCGCACTCCCCATTCCAGCCAGTCTCCAAAGAAGCCGCTAAACAGTATTACCGAGCACCTGTCGGCAATATTCCCATGTCACACCAGGTACAATATGCAGCAGCCGTTACTCTGTTAAACTCTTCATTGAACTCAGGTTTCCCAGTCATGTAAGATCATGGCCAGGTAGAGGTGGGGACTGCTCAGAAGGCAGGTGCCACATTTTATAAACACTGTGGTGAAATCTGTGTGTGCCTAGGGATGAAACCCGGAGGCTTCCACATGCTAGACAAGAGCTACACATTCTGCCCTCAAACAAAAATTTGAACGTGCGTGTCTAGATTGAAAACACTTGACCCCTGGGTAATACTCACTGGAAGCCAGCAGTTTGCTAAGATGTTGACAAAATCTTTACACGCTCCAGTACTAGTTGTTATGGAATCAGTAAATGAACTGTAAAGTAATAGTTTTGTATCATTTTTGGATGAAAAGCACATACAGAAAGAAAGCAGCAAGTTGCGCCTTGTAGCTCAGGCCCCCAGCATGTTAGAAGTGTGAAAAGACCATCTTGGGCTCCATCACACCTAGGATATGTAGACACTGGAGGGCCCTGTGACCCCAGGAAGAACTGAGTCGGGCTGGTAGTTACTGAGCCCTGCCGCAGGAGGGCAGAGGTGAGGGTCCGGGTGGGGGCGCGCCTGGAGTCTGCACACCGGAGTCTGCACTTGCCCTGTTATTTTTCTCTGAGTCAATGTTAATTATAGGCTTTGTAATTCAAATTTAAAGTAATCATTAAAATGTGATTGGCCAGAATTACTGGTTTGCATTTCTCAGTGGAGCCCTGTCCATTTAGAGATAAATATATTTTGTCTACACACAGACATACTTTGTCCTAAGTTTGAGAAACATTGTAAATCTTCTAAAGGGCTGTTATGCTAGTTGTAAAAATATCCAACTTGTAATTATCAGAAGTACCCTACAAATAAAATTGTTTGCAGTCTTGATTAAATTTGGCAGAGATTAAAAAATCAAATAAATGTGTCCTAATTTTCTGAAAGCTGAAATATTTGGGATATTAGTGGTATAAATATCAAGTTCTGTTGACTAATGGTATAATTCTCATTTAATGATGCTCACAAAATAGTTATGCTTTGAACTTTGTTGGTTAGATTTTTTTCAAGGGAGGAAATCTATAAAACTAGTTTCTTCTTGAGAAGAAAGAGATTTTACTGATTTCTCTGAGAACCAGTGTATCTTATTTAATGTCTTTGTGTAGAACCATGATGTTTCTAGAGACCATACAAACCCAGATTCCTAAAGTAAGGATATGAGCATCCCAGGTAGATCTAGCAGATATACTGTTACTTTGGAATTTGGTGGAAATCAGTATTTTAAAATAATACTGAAATTTTCATAATTTGAGTAATATGCATTCAAATAGTTCTGCTTTTCATGTATGGCTTTTATTGTTCTGTGGTCTACAAATTACTTTTGTGTATTTTGCTTTTCAGATTGAGCTGTTAGGTTAATATTAGCACATTGTTTTTCTTAGCGGTAGAAAATTTGATTTTTTTTGTTATTTATTGCTGACTTTCTCTTTCAGCATTGAGCTTGCTGGTTTCATTAAAAAAGTTCGAAGCAAGAGCAAGAACTCGCTTGCAGAGCTGAGTATCGATGAAATTGTCCAGAGAGTGACGGAGCACATTCTAGATGAACAGAAAAAGAAGGTATTCCAGAAATGTCCCGCGTCACCTTTGTTCAGTTACTCACAGAAGCCGGTCGCGCCTGTGTAACTGAGCTCCGCTTCCTTGCCCCTTCCCGCCTCCCGTTGCAGCCAAATCCCGGACAGGACAAAGGGACACCCGGCGCCGGCCCTGCCGCTTCTGCTTCTGTGACCACGTCCTCTGGGAGTCCACCCCCAGCGACTGCCAGGCCGCCGACCACCAAGGCTCAGAAAACACCACATGTCCCTGTACGTGTGGCTAACTACAGCGCCTTGTTTCTTAGTGAAGAACAAGACAAGCCGTTTTTAATGCATGATTTTGCCCCGTTCTCTTCTCTCCTCCTAGGCCTGATTTATGTGATCCTAAAATGAGAAACGGGGTGTTGCTGTCTGAGCGCCGACACCTGGACCCGGGGCAGGGCTGAGGGCGGGCGGACCCCCGGGTCGGGACCGGTCAGGTCGGGCCGGGCCGGATCGGGCCGGGTCGGTCGGCGGCGGCCGCTCCCGGAGCCCGGCCTCTGCCCTTGTTTTCCGCAGACGGCCACACGTGTTGGTCTTCTGTAGCAAGTGCTGTACTTTGACAAGCTGGAAAACACTTCCCGTCACCGAGGGCTGGAGGCGCAGTGGCTGTTGGTGGGAGCGGCGGGGCCCGGGGGGCGCTGGGGGGCGCGCTGCCTGCACCGTCGCCCGGCGGTTTGAGCTGTGTATTTGCCTCTCAGTAAGAGCTGTCCACAGTTACTCAGACCTTATGAAATGCTGTTTTACCTGCCATCCGAATTGGGAAGGCTCGGCCCTGCTCTCCATGCTAAGGAGGGGCCCGAGGCACAAGCATGCCTGCCGTGGCCTCATCTGCCCGCCCGCGCCCGGAGGCCTGTGGCGGCTCCTCCCCACCCTCCGGGGCTGCGCGGCTGGCGAGGGCCTTCTGGTGCCATCTGCGCAGGCGCAGGGCCGAGGCGGGAGCGGAGCACAGCGCGTAGAGCCCCGACCGCGCAGCGTTCGCCACGGACGTGGGCCGAGCGGGACGGGACGGGACGGGGCGGGACGCTGCTCGTTCTGAGCTGGTCTTTTGTGCTCCTGCGCTCCCCTGTGCACGCCCTCCCAGGATGCCCTCCCAGCCTCCGTGGGAGAGCGCCCCCGCCCCAGGCCTCCCGGGCTTTCCAGTGCCCCGGGCCACTGGGCTCCTGCGGTTTCAGGGCGTTCTCACGCCTGTGTCTGTCATTGGCCACCCAAAGCCCTGCTTCACCAGAGATGTTGGTGCTGAGAGGTAAAAGCTTATCTACTTAAACTACCAAGTTATATGAGGAAGGAAAATATTCAAACTGGGAGCTGATGGTGATACATCGTTTTTTGTTTTGTTTTTTGGTACCGGGGATCGAACTGGGGTCCTTGCGCTTGCGCAGCAGGCGGCAAAACCACTGAGGTAAATCCCCGGCCCCCATACACCGTTTTTTAAAATAAAAGAAGCTTTTTATTTTTTTATTTTTATTAATTTTTTTTTTGGTACCGGGGATCCAACTCGGGACCTTGCCCTTGCGAGGCAGGCGCCGGAACCACTGAGCTAAATCCCTGGCCGAAGCTTTTTATTTTTTAATTATAAAAATATACATGCTTGTAACAGAAAATACAAATAAAAATGGCATTTAAAAACCTTAAAGCCAGGCACAGTGGCACACACCTATATCACAGCCACTCGGGAGACTGAGGCAGGAGGATTTTGAGTTCGAGGCTAATGAAGCAATGTAGACTCCATCTCAATACAATACAGTGAATTTAAAGCCTACACTCTGACCACTGTAATCACATTGGTATGTATTTTTGTAAACTCTCTTGTAGGTATGTGTGCAGTTAGTCAAAACTGAATACTTCGGCAGTACTTTTTATGTCCTTTGGAAGGGGTATTTCAATTTTTTAATTGTGGTTTAGAAATATACTGTGGCCAGGCAGGTGGCACATACCTGCAATCCCAGCACTCGGGAAGCTGAGGCAGGAGGATTGCCGTGAGTTTGAGTCTGGCCTGGGCTACATAGTGAGTTCAAGACCAGCTTGAACTTCAGAGGGAGACCCTGTCTCCAAAAACCCCAGAGAAGTGTGTTGCGCCATCTTTGCACCTCAGGAAAGAGCCAAGGGGACTTTGCATTGTTGCACCTAAGCCCAGCTGTGAGCGGGGCAGGGGGAGTCGGAGGGGCCTCACACCCGGCTCTTCCCTGGCCCTTGAGTCCTGGTAGCACAGAGCAGCCGCATCTGCCTGGTCTCTGTCCAGGCCAGTCGGTGTTGGGGATCGGCCGTAGCTTGGCCCTGAGCTCCCCTGCTTCGGGGCTGCATCCCACCTTCCAGGAGTGCACCAGGGCTGAGCCACCGGAGCTCTGCTGGTGGCCTGGGGTCTGCTGTCACACAGGGTCTGGAAGCCAACCACACAGCCCTGCCCCATGGGTGTTCCCCGCTGAGCCCTCGGGTTGTTTTGTTTGGGCTTGTGTTCACAGAGACTTCAGGCAACAGTCAAGAGCAGAGGTAACTTAGCCAGGGTAGCTGTTACCAGTTCTGCATCTCATCTGATTCTTTTCTCTGCATCTCTGTAGGCACTTTTTAAAAAAACTTAATACTGTTTTGTCATCTGCCTTTATTCATTGGTCCCATTCCACCAGCTTTCTATGTCAGGGATTAAGGACTCTGTAGTCTGTGGTGTGGGTGTTAGATAATTGGATTCGTGATTAATCTGTAACCTGTAACTAGTACCACACTTCAGGTATGATAGGTGATAAATGGGAATTGCAAATGTTTCACTTGGAATCTGTTAACCATAAAAAAGTTTTCCTCTGAAAAAATTTGAACTTCAAAATATCTTTTCTGTTTGTTTTTTCTTAAGAAGTGCTATTTTAAAACAAGATTGTTAGCCAGGCACACACCTGTATTTCCCCTACTGAGGTGGCCGAGTCGTAAGTTAGAGGCCGGGTTGAGCTCTAAAACAAGATCCTGTGTCAAAACAGAAAGCAAAACCAGGTTTCTTCAGTCTGCTCAGCCGTAATTGGAAATAACTCGTCAGCTTTTGTGGCAAACATGTTTGACGGCTATTCGCGTCTGGGTCCTGAAGAGCTTCTGTCGTAAAGAGGTTAATCTTTATTGTTCCTTTGTCTCCACAGGCACCAGGTGCAAGCGCCTGTGAAATATGCCGCAAGGTGTTCAAGTCCAAAAATACGTGTGCGCTGAAATGTGGGCACAAGTTTCACAAAGGGGTAAGCGTTCTCTTCAGCTCCCCTTACACAGTCCCTTGGGTTTGGAGACCACTTTCCTGTCGCCCAAATGTCAGAGCCGTCGGCTGTACCGCTGAGGGTCAAAGCCGTGTTTGTCCCTTGATAAGTGACTTCTTAGATGACTAAATGGATAAGCGGTGAGACAGTTTGTCAGTTTAGTGTAGTGTAGAAATTGGTTTAACATTTCAAGAACTAAGCCTCGTTGGTGCCTTGGGCCTGACCCTGAGCAGTTCCCGGATTGGGTGTTAAGCGTCTGGGTGTTGCAGGCACTGGGAGCATTGGTTCTGGGCTGTGCTGCTGCTGCTGCTGCCGCTGCCGCCTCATGAGGACGCGACAGGTGTCTGCCGTGCAGGCTCACGGTCCTTGAGAGAGGGACACGGTTCTCGCTGGAAGGGGCTGAGAAAGCTTGCAGTCCCACCTGTCTGGTTGCTGCCTTCAGGTGTGGCGTCCTGTGCTGGGCCCTCAGTCTCCTGCACACTGGGCCTTGTGGCGCCCTTGGGCTGATGGGACATTTGAGAACCCAGGACCAAGACCAGCAGAAGCGTGGGCTGAGAATTGAGTGTCAGGCCCCAGGGCCACACAGATGCCAACCTAGCACTGCAAGGCAGGCAACTGGGCAAGGCCACCCGGGAAGCCAGGTGCGAAGCCTCACATATTCACGGACTTTATTTTGGAGGGGGATTATTTGCTCCTGGGGTCTCATCCACACTGCTGGCGTGAGCGTCCCTGACTCTCAGCAGCAACAGGCCTCCCCAGAGTTGGAGGCAGCCGTAACCATGCCTGCCAGCGAGTCCGGTCCAGCGGCACAGGGGAACTAAGTCCTCTTGTGGTCCTGCAGGCACTGACTGACTTGGGTCCTTCTTTTTCAGTGCTTTAAGCAGTGGCTTAAAGGACACAGCAGCTGCCCCACCTGCCGTGATGGTGCCCTCTCGTCGGGAGAGCAGTGAGGCCCTAGAGCCTCTCTGCTGTGCGCCACCTCACCGCCGTGTGGTTGGCCTGTGCACAGAACTGAGGCGATGCCAGGCTCCTCTCGTGCGAAGAGCAGACATCTGAAGACTCTGGCATCGCGTGTCACAAGGCCCCAAACGGAAACCTTCAGTGTGTTGCTGTTGAGTAATTTTCCCTCTGAGTAAATGCTTCAGTGATAGCCGCATCGTGGCATATGCAGCGTGTGTCACCCATCCCCCTGCAGAGGGCTCCTAGGCATGGGTGGCTTCTCTCGGGAAGTATTGTCAGTGCCTCAGAACTGTCCTTGACCTGGAAGAGTTCCTAACCTCGCTAAGTGCCCCGCTTCCCTTTCTGTGTGCGAAAAGTCTTTTGTATTAGTAGCCTTTAAATTATTCTGTGTGATCCAGTGTTCCTGAAAACATACCTATATTTTCCCTCAAAGATTCAGCTTTTTAAAAATGGACTTAAATCACAGTTTAATAATGTGTAGTTAATGTTAAAATATTGGCTGGTGTAGACCAAAAGATTGGATCTCTTCGTGAAATCCCAAGTGCTTTTGTTGTTTCATCATTTTATTTCCCCCATAGATTTTTAAACTGTTCATTTTTCGTCAGAGAAGTAATCTAACTTGAAAATCAGTTAGAGAACACATTCCTAGTAAAGAGTTGGCCTAGACATTTTTCCTTTAAGATCGAGGCTATGTCTTCGTCCTCCGTCCACTTTGGGTTCCCTCTGAGAAGGCTCCGCTGTTCTCGCGGGCAGCATCTGGCCTCGTGACCCACACGGTGCCGGGCACATGTGGGTGTTGTGTCGAGCCAGTCCCCATTTCCATCCAGTCTCACCGCCAGCCGCGACACTTGTGCAGTTGACAGCCCCGTGGCATCCGTTTGTCACCTGTGTTTGACCTTCGTGTACAGTAATGCATGCCGTCTTGTACCGTGGCCTGAGAGCAACACTAATGCTTTAGAAGCTGTCAAGACATGTGCATCTTTTAACGACCTAAAGACAGTGCTAAGTAGAGAAACACATTCCATTTCTCTGAAACAGGAAGGATCACAAAATGTTTCTCGCTGTGTTCTGCCCCTTCGGCCCCTCGGCGTCCCGAGTGTGTGCGCGGAGCGGGTCACCCTCCTCTGCCTGTGTTCCCGCGAGCCGTGATGTCCCCGTGACTTGGCCGTAGCAGCCCCTTACTCCCGAGCACTCCTGCAGTGGTTCCTTCCTAAGCCTCACCTGTGTGTTCGTGGCAGTCGGGTGCTGTGTGTGCTCCAGTCCCTCGGCCCAGTTTGTAGCAACAAGTGCATTGTGCCCTGTGCTTCCCTGCCAGCCGTGTGACCTGCCTTATTCTCAATAAAGAGCGCCCCAAAGACCAGTGCTTCACTGTCATCCTTGCCTGCAGCTCCTGGGGAACGGGGCCTCTGCCGCACCAGTGTTTAAAAGCGGCTTCATTCTGGGGGAAGCTGTGCCACCTCAGGACTCTTGAGCGGCTTCTTGGGGCATGTCAGAGCGGGGATCGAGACCCCTCCCCCAGAACGGAGCTCGCCAAACTCAGGGGGCAAGGTTGTCTGTCTGGATTTGAGTAGAACACTTACACAGAGACAGTAGAAAACTTACTCTGAGGTTAAGTTCAGAAATCTTTTTCCTGTGAATACATGTAAGGACACAGAAGGTAGTTAAAGACCTGTCTACTCGTTATTCAAGTGTATTCAAAGAATTTGCAGTAATCTGGTAGCATTTAATTCACGGTAAGGTATAACTTAAAGCGGTTTAACTTAAGTTTAACGTAAAGTGGTGGCCAGTCCTCAATGTTAGATTATTTTTCTCTGCTGACGGGTGTAATCAACATTATGAATACTGAATAATCTATTACAGAGCTGAAGAGGAATCCCAGGAAGGCCATGTGTGGCTGCACTTTAAGGTAAGGTAAGACTGCATAGGGCATCGGCCGGGCATCACAGGCAAAGCTGAGCGCTGGGTTAGAAGCCGATTCCAACCCCCTGAGCTTGGGAGAAGCGGATGGCGAAGGAGGGGGAGTCCCGTCCATCAGTGTGGGCGCTTGCAGATGGGCTGGGAAAACAGATGGGGAAGGGCAGGGTCGTCTGAGCATGAGGACTCACAGTGTTTAGGCAGGCCCTGCGTTACCCAGCAGGAGGCGGAAGTTGGGAGGTAGAGGCCCGTGAAACTGGCTTGCAGTTGAACAGGCAGCAAGCAGATACATAACGTCATCTCAAGTGCTGAGAAGGGCTCAGGAGAAGCAAAGATTTTATATATGAAATAAATACATATGTCATTTAAATATTACCTAAATTGTGAAGCACTTAGCACATTGACCCTAGATAAATGCAAGCTGGTCATGTTGGATTCAGGGCCTGGAGAGCAGAGCTGGGTCCTAATAAAGGTCTTGGTAGATGGGCAGCACCTCCTCAGCCCAGCATGGACGGGAATGTAGACGTGAGAAAAGCAAGAAAAATCAGATCGTCCACAAACCATTGTGAAAAGCAGCTTTGTCCTGAGGTGTTCCATCACCTTGGGGAATCCTGTGACTGTAGCAGGAGGTGGCTCCCCCGGGCTCTCCTGAGTCCACCTCTCAGCGCAGAGCTTCCAGTAGGCCCCTTCCTGGGGGGTTTGCCCCAGCGCCTGGGGAGCCTGGTAGAGAAGCCACCTGCTCCAGACTGAGACCCGTTTTTACTCATCCTGCGCTGCCTCCGCTTCATCGCTGCCTCTTCCGTGTCCCTTTGAAAGGGAAAAAAGAAAACAGACAAAGTGGAGAACTTGAACACTAGTCAGCTGTAAAATCCTAGTGAATTATGTCAAGTCAGATCAACCATGGATCAGAAGGAGGTTTTCAGCTACATGAAGAATAGTCTTGGCTATCCATCTGGGGGGAGCCTTAGCCCCTCACGGTGTAGGGCCCTGTGGGGTGGTCTTCAGCCCCCACCCTGCCTTTCCTAGCCTGCCTCTGCTGCAGGAAGAGGAGCTGGAAGTGGGGCGAAGCAATGGTGAGTTTGTTTGCAGAGGAAAGTGGTACAAGGCCACTCCAAGGAGTGGGGGCCCCAGAGCCGGGTGACTGCTAAATATGGAACAGCAGTCCTGTCTTACGGGTAACTGGGTCCTGGGGCCACGGTGGGAGAATTTACACCGTGGACCTGGGCAGACGCTGCACGGCGGAGCCTCGGGCCTGGACGAGCCAGCGGAGGGTGCGGGAGGATGGGCCGCTGTGCAGTATGGGCGCCTCTGCCGGCCTCACGCTTGCGGCGGCAGTCGGCAGTCGGGGGCCACAGCGCCCCGCCCCTCGGGATTTCTGCCTTCCCGCAGCCCCTCCCCTCGGGGATGTCCTGCCCGGCACTGGACCAGGGACTGGGCCCAGAGCCCCGGGGAGCCTCTGCCTCTCCCTGGGGAGGCGCTCCGGACAGCGACTCGCGTCCCCCGAGGCGCCGCATCCCTGGCCCTCTGCCCAGCTCAGGCGGGCGCCCCTGAGAGCGCAGGTAGCCGGAGCAAGCGCCAGGGTGTCAGCGAAAAGCCACCGCGGGGACGCCACCAAGCCCGAGCTACCGCCCGGGCTTCCTCGACTTCAAAGAGAAACTGCTCTCTAGTGCTTTCTGCCGGACAGAAGTGTCGTTGTCTCAGCAAATACCTTCGGGCTCAGGGAATAAATGCTTCTCTTCTCCACCGCCCCCCCTCCATTTTTCAGAAGTTACATGTAAAAGCATTTTGCCAAATTCCTTCCGACCCCTACTTCAGTCTCTATTTATTTGGTGTGATGCAAAGGTCTTAATATAGATAGATCTCCCTGCCACCAGTTCCAAGAAACCTGGCACCCGCTCCAGCCCCGTGTCCTGAAGTACCACCACCCTGTTCTGCCAGCTGAGCTAACAACCCTGCAAAAGCCCTGGGACGGATGCCACTATGCCCGGCCTGGCGCTCACTGGGCCTCCCCGGAGGCCACGGGGCCTTTGCTTCCAGATTCAAGACCTCCACAGCCTCTCGAGGGCCACACAGAGTGTGACAGGCAGGGAGGATGTCCCAGCTCAGCCTGGGAGGATCTGGTGCCACCTTTGACCTGGTGGGTTGCAGAGGTGGGGCGCCCAGGGCACAGAGGGGAACTTGGGGTAGGCAGTGTGGCACCCGCCACCCAGGCAGCCCCCTCAGCAAGAGTTCTGCTCCAGGCCTGGCGTCCGGGGACCTGGCAGAGGGCATTTCTGCCCAGGCGCTCACGTAGCCTGCTCCAGCCCTCCTTCCTCAGGCTGCTGGAGTCTGGCCCCAATCAGGCCCCCAGGGGGTTGGTGGCCCCCTGAGCTCACTGCCATCTGCACTCCCTGCCCCATCCTGGCTGCCCTGGCACCCTCCCACATGCTGTCCCCTACGGGCTGCTGGCCTGGAGGAGCTGTGGAAACTCTTGGGGCATCAGTTTTCGAATTCCTACAGTGGAGATTCAGCCTGGTGTGGCAGTGCACACCTGTGATCCCAGCACCCAGTGGCTGAGGCAGGAGCATCACCATGGTCTTGAAGACTAATTGAGCTACATAGTGAGTTCAAGCCCAGCCTGAACTATATAGTGAGACCCTGTCTCCAAGAACAGAATGGAACAGGAAAGAAAGGAGGAAGGAAGGGAAAAAGAAAAACAAAAAAGGAAGAAAGGTATAAAAATGCCAGTAGCTGCTCAGCAAACGCTCCACAAAAACCCTGGGCTGCCGGGGAAGGAACATGCACAGAGCTGAGCTGGCCTTGGAGCCCGGTGCCGACCCATTTGGATTCCTCCTCCCGAAGCCCAGGCGTTGGGCCTCATGCTCTCCCCTCGGCTGCCAACATGACTTCTGCAAGGGGCCAGTTCAGGTGCCAACGGAATGTCCCACTGTGCTGTTTCCATGCCCCGAGGACACTCAGAGGTACAGATTAACTCCCCCATTTTATAGGTGCAGAAACAAACCTAGAAGGTTCAGTAACTCCCCAGACTCATGCAGTGGGAAGGTTTCACCCCCCCCACCCCCCACCCCCGCTCTGGCTGCACATCCCCTTTCAGCCCAATCTTCTTGTCCTCCAGGCCACAGCTCAGGTCACAGTGGAAGCCGTGGAAGCCCAGGCCTGGCAGCTCCCCCCGCACCGTGGCTGCCCTGGCGTCCCCTCCTCCAGCCACCTCATGACACACCACGGTGTGTGACAGATGTGCCGTCTCTCCACGGCCAGGATGCTATAACCTGTGCTGGTCGTGTCGCCATCTGTTCTGATTGGGCCATGCTGTTTTGCCTTTGGTTTTTTCCTAAAATTTGTGGTTGCCTCTCTTTTCCTTGCTCCTGCTTTCTCTGCACCTCTTTTCTTCCATTTGCATCTTCAGTCATTCTCAGGGGCTCCTTCTAGCCTCCAGCCTTTACTGCCTTTACCACTGTCCCAGACTAGACCCACGCCTCCCTTGTCAATAAGTGCAAGAGGAAGTGGTCCGCCCTTAGTTCCTAAAGAAATGTCAACTCCAACCCTCAGACACTGTCACACACCCACCAGACTGGCCCAGTAGCTTTGTAATATAATTTCAATTAAGGGATCGTGATGTTCCCTGCCTTTCCTTTGTTGCCTAGAATTGCCTTTGCTATTCTAGGTCTCTTCTGGTCCTAAATTAATTTTAGGATTGTTTTCTGTAATTCTGTGAGGCATGCTATTGCTTTTTTGATCAGGATTACATTAAATCTGTATGACAATTTTGGAAATATGGCCATTTTCACGGTATGCATTCTTCCTATCCAAGAACAAGGGATGTCTTTTCATTTTCTGATGTCCTCTTCTATCTCCTTTTTCAGAATACTGCGGTTTTCAATGTAGAGGTCTTTTACTTCCTTCATTAGACTGATTTCTAGGTATTTCATTTTTCTTGATGCTATTGTGAAAGGTGTTGTTTCCCTAATTTCTCTCTCAGTGAGTCTATTATTTGTGTATAGGAAGGCTGTTGAGTTTTGAAACCATTCTTGGGTTTCTCTAGCCAGTATCTCTAGACCTTTCCAAGCTCCTCCCATGAACCACTTCTAAAGGCTTCTTGACCACGTGGTCAGCTTCCGTCATACTAATGACTCCACTTCTCTATTACCAAAATCTGTCTTACTCATTTTCCCACCACTGACACACAATCCCAACACCCACAACTTAAGGCAGGGGAGGCATAATTTGGATCGTCATTTTAAGGAGATTTAGTCCATAATGAGCTGGCTACAAGGCAGGAAGAATGAAAGGAATGGTGAGAGTCTGGCAGAGGAGAGCTGCTTATGTCACTGCAGCTGGGAAGAAAAGAGGGTAGGAGCCAGGGAGGGAGAGAGTCCTTCGGGTCACTCCCCAGTAACTCACCTCTTCCAACCAATCTCCACCTCCTCATTACACATCCGGCTCTGA